ATTCCATTTCCTTCCGCATGATCCAGTCCGAGCTCTGCTGCGCGTGCGTACTTCCGCGGGTCTCCCACAACTCCAGGCCAGACACCGCACACACTCGTGTCCGTTAAGCAAGTCCCATCGAGATGGGATGCGCGTATGGACTGATGAGTAAACAACATCAGCCTCTGCCAGTCCTGCAACACCGTTGGCGACTTGTCGTATGGCGGGTAGATGGATGACGCCGAAAATCATTGGATGAAAAAGGTGGACGGTGGGTGGACGAGTGAAAGGGACGGATGAAGAAAGTGGACGTCAGAGATGGACGGAGAAATGTACAATTTGGGAAACACATGTAAGCAGGATAGAAAGGAGTGTCCCAGCACGAGATATGCAGCCCAGTGAGGAAAACGCGGAGAGACCCGCTACAGCCACACACATCGTCGAAATAAGCTTTCGTAAGGCCTCGCTAGTCAAACCTGTGGTCTCTTCGCCCTTGGGTTTACCCTGCAAGATCTCCAAGGGAAGTAGCCCAGCAAGCTTCTAGGTACTCGAGTATCCGTAACACACCTTGGCGAATTAGACCGAAAGTCTGCTCTTCCTTCTGCCCCCTATCCGCGGCTACAGCACCTGCCAATACGACAGTCTCGTTCCCTGAGGTGTTTGGCCTGCTCCCGAAGCTGGAAAAGTTGTGTGGGCGCGTGTATGAGAAACGGAACTCTGCTCATTTTGCGCTTTCAAACCAGTCGACATTTGGCGCGTCGATTTCGGGAGTTGGTTTTCAGCTTTCAGAATCGAAAGTGTCTTTTTGTTTGTTCTGAGTTGACTGATTTCTTGGGATGCTGACTGTCGGCATAGCAAGCGATTGGCTGAGTCTGCTTGTTGTTGCTAACAAGCTGCCAAGTCGCGCAAAATTGCCACTTGGTGGTGGTTCAAACCAAGGAATTCTTGGCTCCCCCAAGCAGTTCGTCGATCACAGCATCGTGACACAGCTTGGCAGGAACACCAAAGATTGGAGATAATGATGTTGGTATTTCATAATTCATCGTATACATGGCGCAGTAGTGTGCTTGCGCCTGAATGTCTATCTACTTTCCCGGACTTCTTCATGTTATTGTTGTTAGAGTTGTTTTTGTCGTCGTGTTTGGCTGCTCGAGGACGTCCCCATATCCTCCACCCAAATGCTCGATGTGGGATGAGCCCGAAAGGTATTAGACGTGTTCGCTTTGTTGTCCAAGATTACATCCGATTCTTGTCCTTGACCGGGTCCTCGAACATCCAAATGTTCGTACTTTCAGGTCTTGCCTTGCCTTTGCTGGATTGAGCGTACTTGTCGATGGGACTTGGGTGAGCCTTGTCGGGGCTCCTGATCTCTTTCAATTCCAAACCAACAACTCTCTCGAGGTCTTTCGCCTTGAAGTCCCCTGTCATCGGTGTCCCGTCTTGGCGCCATGGTGGTGTTTCGTACCATAAGTCAGGGTGCACCGTGGAATTCCGCCGGTGCTTGTTGAAGAACTTGGGGAACCACTGTCGCAGCTTTGCGACTACTCTGTTGAAAAGCTCTTCGGCTAGTGGTCTGAACCCCGGGATAGAAAGCGCGATGAGGGTGGCGCCGATTTCTGATACCTCAATTGCGAGAAGTGGGCTGTAGATCCATGACTGGTCAGGTTGCCATTGTCCGTTGATGACCAAGATAAGGCGGGCAATTGAGATCGCAACAACGCTGCAAGAGTTTTAATTGATGTACTTTCACACAGGCATCAAACTGGGTAGACTCACAATATTCCAGGCAAGAGAATGCAAGCAAGCTGGATCTTCCTCTTTCGTGTCATTTCCAACATCCATAACATCGCTACGGGTATCCCGAAGAGAACAAAGTCGCAAAGCAAAGACACCGCTGAGTTGATCCCGTAGACGAAGCCCCACGGGAGGCATTTGTACTGATTAAACTGTGACTGCCATTCGTAAGGCCATATTGCTGTCACGGGAAGACAGTGGAAGATGATGAGAAGCATCTGAGTGATGTAGCCGGCGATGAGAAATAGCGCCGCTCCCTTGATTGCGAGAAGGAATCTGCTGTGAACGCCGCACACGCGGTAGTAGAACGCTAGACCCGAGAACCGGCACACGAATAGCGCGCTTGTGTAAATCAGATGGGCGGTGAAATCGAGAATTTCAGTCTCTTCCAGTATGTCTTGGGTCATGACGAATTGGATGAATTCAAAGTGTCGACCAGAACCGATATTGATGAGGATGATGCACAGTGGAACGAAGGCTATGAACATTGCCTGATGCCATTATTAGCTCTTGGAAACTCTCTAGACACGTCGCGCACGCCGCTCACCATTGATATCACTGCTAGCGTGTCGTCTATCCCAAAGCTTTTCCGCAGGAAGAATCGTGAAAAGGCGCGACCATTGACAACCACTAATGTGAGGGCGAACATGAAGATTGAGGCATCCATTGAAGGCCCGTCTCTATCTTCCTCCAAGTAGGCGAGGCTGATTTCCGGTGGTACACGACCAGCCGCGACGGCCGCGGCGGCCTCTGAGTCGCCCAACATTGTGCTGGTGACCGTTGAGATGTTGACGATCTGGCTGAAGTTGTCATGCGGGAAGGAGAGATGTGCATCCTCAACGAGCAGGAACAAGAACGCACAAGGCCTCGGACGACAAAGTGCTTCCCCCCCAAAAGCTTTATGTTATTGCTGCACCTCTCTCCTTCGCCTCTTGCAGCGGAATAATGCAACCTTGCATCTTGAGTTGGGATCTGATCGGATGACACAGATTCCCCAACTCTAAACCCGGCAGGGATTGGCAACGGTGTACAAGATGGTGTGGTGTGCCTGGCCTGGGGAGTGAGGCTGCCAAGAAGGTTGGCGCTTGTGTCTGGACTGAAGAAAAGCTTAGGAAAGCTTAACTCGAGCGTTTGTAACCACTGTCCGTGCCATCGGCAGTTGGCGGGTACATTGTTGCAATTGAGCGTAACGGCGACGCTTGATGTCATCTTTCTGGAATGAAATTAATTGATGGATCGAGTTTTCTTCTCCGTACGAGGCCTCATTGTCAAGTAATCTTGAGTTCCTCAAGTGGTCTCGAGGTCGTTTGCGGATCGGGAAGGGGAGAAGAGTATTGCGATGTGATATGGAACCATCAAATGTCTTACAGACTGTTGGTGGTATTTCCCGTCAGCCATTGCCCACCTGGTCAAAGGTCGCGATTTGTGAACAAAGGGTGGAAGCCAATCGGGAGATCACGTACACGATCTTCTCGGACTTTCCGTCAATGGGGAGTGACTTTTCAAGTGGTCAAATCCCGAGTCTGAGAGCTTGTCACGCTGCAGGGGTCCACCCATCTTCTAGATCAAGTGTTCGTTGCTTTGACTCCAGGGTGTCGTCGAAACGGGATAATCGGTACGTAGAAAAGGGCAGCCCAGAAGGTTTTGTTCGTTTTTGCCCATTAAATCTGTTGCTAAGGGTCAATTTGGACAATTTCCGTTGATCCTTCCAGACGAGTCGTTGCCGCGGCAGATACTGACATGGACGTCTTGGTCCTTTGTGCTCGCGCCACGAGGAACGGTCATTGGCCGTTTGTACAGCGCATTGCATGAGCTCTCTCACTCTCTCGTGTAGTATCAGACGAGAGGACCATTCGTCTCGAACGTCTCAGACGAACAGCGCTAGTGCAATTAAACTGAGTCCAAGCAGCACCGAACAACGAAAAGAAGCCAAAAGGCTTTTGCTGCCCGTTACTGTTCTTTCTCAAGATTCAATGGAGCCCGAAGTCGCCGTTGAATATTGGTGGTTCGCGGGCTCCGAGTCGACCGTTGTCTGGTCTCAGTGGGCAAGAAAAGAGCCTGGTTGCCAAAAACACTGAATCTGAAAAGGGCCAGGCTTCCGAATACGGGAGTCAGGACATCGGGACATCAGGCTGGAAGCTGACTCTTGCATTGCGATCGGTGCGCACTCCCGTACAACGATGGCCCGACAGCCTTGTCTTCAGGAGGAGAGGCCCGCCGGAATATTTGGTCGGCCTCCGCAAAACTCCGTTGCTGGTCAATACGGTACTCTGTGATGATGAAGCCTGAATAGGCACAGCGAGTCTGTCTTTCGCATTCGGGTTCAAGGTAAACTTAAGATGCGCCGCTTCCGATGCCATTACGGTGAGTCCCGCGTCGCGATGCTTTCTGGTCTCAGGCAAACGGAGCGATCGGCATGTTGCTGAACAACTTGTAGAGACTCTTCCGATGTAATCGCGTCTTGTTTGTGATCTTGCGACAAACGGTTTTATGCAATGGTCTGGTATGTTTCCTATTCAACAATGAATGATTACAATCATGTCTCCAAGTGGCAAAAATGGGGCCAGCTTACCTCTCTGACGTCTTACCTAAGCCATCCGCTACCTTAATGGTGATCACAAGTAGCTCTCATATAACGCTGCCTTTTCCTTGGATTGTGTCCGTACTCTTGAAGTTGAGCCCGAGCATAGATGGCTCGTTGAGCTAGGCGGCGGAGGAAGTCGAAATTGAATGGGGACGAAGAGATGATGTCAAGTGTTGAGGTCGCACGAGCCTGGCTTTAAGCAGAAAGAAAAGAACTCTTCTGCTGATGCCTTCCTTAATAGATGAATTTTATTATCTCATTATCAGAAGGAGAACATGAGGCTTGTGGGTGAACATCTCAATGGAAGGTGCGACCTGTTATCCATTAGTCACTTCCTTCCTACCTAGTTGGGGAAAAGTGAAGCTGTGGATCTTACTGTGAGGGCCCGTGCTTAGTAGTTGTTATTGCCCTTACTCTTCCTCCTGGCTACGGGCTTATTTAGTACACGGCTTCCTTTTCTTTCTATAAGTTGCCTTGTAAAAAGGCCCTCCTTGGCCCAATTTTGTATATTTCGGCCCTTCTTTTAGTAATTTCAAGTCTTCACAAGGTAGCCATAGGCCTCACGCAGTGCAGCACGTTCAAGGTAAGTCTCATAACGCCAATCATTCTATTAAATACTGTGAACTCATCAGATGTATTACAAATGGCCGACATTGGACCCTTCCTATCTGGCATTAAGCCTGAAGACATCCCTATTCCGAGTCGAGAACTCAGTCTTAAGAAGTATCTGAAGTTTCCGGGGCTCGACATGCCGGAAGTCGTCATCACCGAGCAGAACCGAGGTTTCGTCACTGTCCTCGGCCTCGATCAAGACCTCCTCGTCCCCGGCTTCTCAGACCTGCCTGTTGAGCCTACCAGTATGCAGTCCTTTGTCTCTTACAAAGTTGAGCATCCGTTCACCACCGTCTTTGGGGTTCTCTATACAAACAAAGACATAATCATGGACTGGCGTCAGTCTTGAACAAGGTTCAGTGACTCCTTGCCAAAGATAATCAGTCTTGGACGACAGAGTTGAGCGTCAACAAGATTCGGGATCTTATCCAGCAGTTTGCCGATTCGCGTATCAACTATCTTTAGAACGCTCCGGACCAGAAGCTGCCATGCTCGGGTGATCGTCAGGACTGCCGATTCTTCAAGTCAATAGACCGATATATCGAGTTCAAGGTGGATAAGTCATCTATCTCAGACCCACTTCAGTTTCCGGCAAAGCATCAATGGATGAATCGCCATCGACTGAGAAGATACCATAGTCACCAAGATGCCGGCCCTGCACACCCAGCACCTGCTCCGCCAGCCTTAAAGGCTCCTATGGCTCATATGGCTCCTATGGCTCCTATGCTATCCCCGGAAGCTATCATTGCTTTGATTGCTACATCTCCATCATTCTGTCGAGTTCGGCGTTAGTCAGATCTTGCCTTTGTCATACCCTGGACACTTCTACGTCCCACTCTAGCTGTTATTAGTGGTTGAAATACACCGCCTGGGCAAGCCCTGAAGGGAATTTGGGTTTTGTATATGAACAAATGCTCATTTCCCTTGCTTTTGATCCTTATTAGCTACTTCCTTTATGTCTCCTGCACAAAAAATGAAGTCTCGCACGAAGCGTAATCCGGGCCCTGGCTTGAGAGGCTACAATTAGCAAGAAAAGAACGAGCGAGCTCATTAAGCTCTACGCCAATGACCGGAAGGATCCATAACCTCACCAACAATGCTAATCCGAAGGTCCCAATAGTTCGATCCTCTTGTAGTTCCAGGTGAAGCGTGACTGGGTGGATTTGAATCAGACAAGGACTTTGCTGGGACGCGCACACACGGTTGAAGGGCAGGCGCCATTCTGTGCCGACTTCTCCGCTTGTAGATATTACCAGATGGTTATTTCCGGGGTAGACAGATGTTCTTTATGGAAAGTTATGGTAGGTAGACTAGGACAATTGAGATAATGGGGTCTTGGTTCCTTTGCGTCTTGGGCAATTCATGTTTGCGCCGTCTCTTGAGGTCGCTGAAATACAGATACCAAGACCATCCAGCAGGAAAATAATCAAATTCATGTGCACCTCATTGTACGGATTACGGAATGGCTATGTGACTTTTTATCTGTAGTCTTTTGGCTACGGTGGTAGCTGCAGAACCCCTACCAGTGCAGTGGATGAAGTGTTCATGTTTGGAGTTAACAGTGCAAGATGGGCGTGATGTTCCCGCCGTGGTTCTATCACAAATAAGAAGGAACAGAGGTGTCTCTTTCTTTGTGATCTAGTCGCAATGATACTTGTGGGAGTGCTGAAGCAATGAAGACACACATACTACACTTGCTCTATGCGTTGTTGGACCTTTGTCAATGTGAGGCACGTAGTATCTTTGTTCATACCCTAGACCGCATTTTGGCTAATCTGTGAGAGTTACAAGTCGCCGTTGAGCGCTAGCTCTCCAAGCAGCAGGAAGCAGTCAGAAGCCTCCTTCCAGAAATCCAGATTCCCTTAACGTCTGGGCTTTCTTCCCATGGCCTCAAGATAGGGGTTGATCCTATCGTAGATGGCGGCTTGGTGGCGCTTGCGACGCCTATCCTCCTCAAGATCGTCCATAGCCTTGTCGTAGGCCGCACGCTCTTCAGGAGTGGCCTGAATGGCTCGCTGAATGCGCGCCTTCTGGTCTTTCTCCTTCTTCGCCTTCTCGGCCTTATCCTCGGCCTCCTGACGCTTCGCCTCCTCAATCTGAGCTCGGCGGCCCTCCTGAATAGCGGCATGGCGTCTCTGCATCTCCATTGCCTTCTCCCCGTCGCCATGGTGATCGCCCTGGGATATACCCTGGGCAGCGGCGGCATTGGTGTTGCCGGCGGTAGGACCAGTAGAAGGGCCCTGCTGGCTATTGGTGTTCTGGTCCATCTCGAGAGCGGTAGCGAGATTGGCGGAAGGCGCGTTGGAGGACATCTTATCGCAAGATTTGGCTGGTCTTCTACCTCAAAATTAGCTTGGGATGACATATCATCTGGCAGGGACGTCTTACCTTGACTCTGGCGAAGAGTGGTTTAGCGGTATGGCTGGGTCAAAGTCGGTAGACAACGGTCTTGCGAAAGTCAAGATGAGTATGGAAGACGGTTCGTGGATGAAAAGCCTTTGCGGGGGAACGAGATGACTGTGAAGCAGAGATGGTGGTAGAAAAGATGGAAGTGGACAAGTGTGTGTGCATGCGTGCTGTGGGGAGAATATCTAGGGGTCGAGTCGAGCGATCATACGAAGGTGAAGATGGCTCACACGGCGGTAAATATAGGGAAAGAGGACCCGGGGCGCTCAAAATCGCGCTATGGTGAATGATTAGCAGTAGGGCTTAAGCCATCCGGAATACAACTCCTGAATACTCCCAAGAAGCTATCCTGGATCTCCCCACCTTAGGTGCGCTGACAGCATTCACTTTCCATGACACAGCATCAAGTTGGAAGGTGCCTTCCTCGCGGTCCGAAATGCAGCCTTTCTGCATTTCCAGCTTTCATTTCGAATTATGTCCGCGCTTCCGCCTGTAGTATGCCATGTATTGAAGCACAAGTATCGCAAGATGGAACACATAAGTAACATAGCTGTGGGAGAAGTTCCTGGGATCCAGGAAAGACATTACGACGACCCTTGGCTAGCATGACCCAAACGACTGCATGAAAGCTCAAATCATCTTGGGAAACGTATTCCAAGTTGTTTTGGTCAGGAGTAGTCGAGTGGAATTGTTTTCATGTTTAAAGTCCGCTGAAACCTTTATTTCTTCCTAACCGGTCCTTATTCAGGAATTTCCCAGCTTCATAGCAGCAGCACAAAGTCGGCAGATAAGTTGTCAGCGTCCGATTACCTTAATCTTCGCTGCCTCCCTCCATCTTCAAAATGTCTCGGCTTTCGGTAATATTACGGTTACTGAGCAATTCTAAATGTACTCCGTTCACGAGTAAATTGGGTTGTCCGCTCAGACAGACACCAGGAGCATAACATCTATGCCATACCCAAGGTCAACCTCTGACAGTAGGAACACAAGACCGGTTTCCAAGATCAGCAATTCAAAGCCAACCCAAACGTGAAAGAGCGAATACAAACCAGGCATTGTCCCAATTGCAACGCTGATACCGAAAGCAACGGGACTATTCCTTTCTTTTTCAAACCTCACAGAAGTCTGTGTTTGTCAATTTCGAGGCCGAGCAATCACGTCATCCTTGGTCGCAGATGTCTTCCAAGACCACGCTTACACACTGTGAATGGTGGAAATACGTTCACCCCAACAAGCCACTGAACCAACAATAAGTTAGGTAATAGTTTGCATCGTACGGAGTACAGAGGATCGCCATCCCCAGACCCCCCACAACATGTATCCACAAATCTTCTCCGGATTCCGCTCTTGCTTAAATACTTAAGACTCCGTTTGCCAGAATTAGAGTTGCCAGCAAACGATGCATCCCCATCCCATCCCGCCGGCTTCTTGGGGCAAGCTGCAGTATCTTTACGCATAGACGTTTTCCGAAGAGTCTCCCCCGCGTCCCCGCGTCCAACCTGTAGATGGAGAAAGCGGCTTCCTCGGAACCAGGGCCCGAGACCCGCCAAATTGCTCCCGAACCCCACCAGCCAGGCCGGTTCGAGCAAAGGCGCGTTTCCTCCGCATCCCACCCCCGCACGGATCTGGAGAGCCATCCCGAGCAGCTAGCGGCTACTGCGCAAGGTCTCTCGACAACGACATCCGTAGCTGACACCGGCGCGAACCCGGATACCTACCCCGAGGGCGGGAGGCAGGCTCTGACTGTGCTATTCGGGACGTGGTGTGTCCTCTTCTGCACGTTTGGCCTAGGGAACAGCATCGGCGTTTTCCAGACGTATTACGTCAACGATGCCCTTCGCGAGTATACTTCCTCCACCATATCCTGGATCACCAGCTTCATGCAATGGACTCTCAACTTCATGCCCATCATCGTACGTCCTTCTGAACGACACTCCTACAGCCAACGGCCGACTGACTACAAACCCAGTGGGGATTCGCCTTTGACAAATGGGGCCCGCGATGGCTACTCATCGGCGGATCAATAATCTACATCTTCGGCGTGATGATGGTCTCCCTAGGGTCCAAATACTATCATTTTTTCCTTGCCCAGAGCATCGTCTGTCCCATCGGCGCCAGCGCCGTGACGAGCGCAAGTATGTCGTGCCTCGTAACATGGTTCCACCGCCGCCGCGCTACAGCTTTCGGAATTATGATGTCCGGGTCCTCTGTCGGCGGCGTCATCCTACCCATCATGATCCCGCGCATGATTGACACCGTCGGGTTCCCGTGGGCGATGCGTACTGTCGGCTTCATGTTCCTCTGTCTCCTTTCTATCGCGTGCTGTACCGTAAGATCCCGGTTGGAACCGCAAACGAAGCCCGTCGATATGAAAGAGTACTTTCGCGGCATTCGGGAGCCTACCATGATGTCGACGGTTTTCGGTCTATTCTTGGTCTTTTGGGGTCTCTTTATTCCCTATGCCTTTGTTATTCTACAAGCCAAGGCGCAGGGAATGGACGATGGCCTGGTCATTTACTTGCTGCCTATCATGCATGCCGTAGGGTACGTCCCAAAATCTACCTCAACAACCTCAAAGAACGCCGACTGACATCCCAACCAGCTTAGTAGGGCGCGTCGTCCCAGGCCTCGTAGCCGATAAAATAGGCCGCTATAATATCATGATCATCCTCGCCACCCTCACCGGCATCGCGTGCCTAGCCCTCTGGATCCCAATCAAGAGCAACGCCGGCATTCTAGTCTTCACAGCGGCCTTTGGCTTCCTCTCGTCGGGCCTGACGTCCATCGGACCGACGCTAATTGCGCAGATATCGGATATTCGAGAGATTGGCGCCAGGACCGGTACCGCTTTCGCGTTCCAGTCCTTTGGCGCACTTACGGGGAGCCCTATTGCGAGCGCGATTGTCGATGCGCGTGGAGGGGATTATTTGGGGCTGCAGCTGTTTTGTGGTTTTTCGATTTTGGCGTCGGCGGGTGTGTTTGCTTCGGCGAGGTATGTTCAGGCTGGTGGGTTTGAGCTTAAGAAGGTTTGAGGGGCATGTTCACGTAGCTGCTATTTTGGGTAGGGCAGCATGAGATAGACGAGCGAGGTCACTGAATCATAGACCAAGGCAGAGACAGATGTACCGATAGAAACATCAGCTTTTGCTACTCATTACACAGATGAACTCCAATTGCGATTCTCCAACCTCTGATTGCCGTGATCCCCAATTCTATGTTTGTCCGATGGTGCCAACAAGTACAACAGTGAGCCTTCCATCTTTCGTCATCGAGATATCGGTATCAGGACGTTGTATTCGAACGTTCAGTAGTCGGGGATGTTGTGCTTCTTCTTGTACAGCTCTGATCATCAGCAGTCCACACCATGTCCGAGCCTCGAAGGCCCTCGAGCCCGTTGAGGTCGTTAACCAAGTAACCGAACAGGAGCTTCTGACCATGGATACTGCCACGCTGCTCGGCCTCCTCGGTCTCAATCACGGCGTCAACCGCGAAGTCGACCAACTGATTGGACAATGCGGCGACTACAGCGGTGCTTGAAACAGCGATGTTCTTGACTATTGCCTTTTCAAGGTCCTCCTTGGCCTTCGCGTGCTGCTTCATGACCCTCTCGAGATTAACTCTGAGAGTCATGAGCTCCTTTTGAGAGTCGTGGAGAGCCTTCATCTTCTCGTAGTTCTCGCCAATCTTGACGACAAGGTTGAGGTCTTTGGTCATGAGGGCATCGCACAGATTTTCGGATGTGCTTCATCGCGACAGCCTGAGGGTAAGAGGCGGACAGCGGTCCCAAGAGGTTGGCAGTGGCGGCTGCGAACTGAGCCAGTCCAACCTGAGAAGAGTCTTCCATCTGCGCGGACGAAGCTGGGGCGGAAGTGGTACCGACAGAAGTAGCGGTAGCAGGGGGATTGGCATGCATATCACCTTGGGTAGACATGGTGTGCTGGAATTGAAGGTTGTTTAGAACACAAGTGTACGAAGAACTGCCATAGAATCAAGAGAAGAACAGAAACTCAGAAAATGGAGCTCTCTGTATCTGACCTAGGTAGCGGGGGTCTTGGCTCAATGATAGATCAAGGCTTGAGAATTGACGCGGAGCAAAGCGCGTTGGTAATATTGGCTGATGACAAGGTGAGAAATTGCCCAGTCTGTACGGCCATCTGGAAATCTCTTGGATCCGAAATACCCTCAGCGCACAGCGCTCACTCCTTTTTCCCCCTCGTTCTTCCGGACTTGATTGATCCTTCAACTTGTCTTTTTATTTGATGGTCTGCCAAAATCCTCCATGTTTTTGTTGTCTCTTGTTCTATGCGAACGGAACTCTGACGACCCCTACCCCTTAGATCCAAATCCTTCCTCCGAGTCGACAGCACATGTGAGTTTTACCAAAGTCCCATCACTTGCAGATGCGCCCCGAAGAAACGGTCCGGGGCGTGGGGCCAACCTTACCTAAAAAGCCAATATCCCCGGCCCGTCATTTCCTTGGCTTCTGCGCGCCGAATATCCACCTCCCGAAGAACCTTCCTCCGTCTTGGCGTGCGCAGATGGAACGTCCGCTTGGTGTCTTGCCGAATACTCCCTCAAACCAAAATCCCGACGGTCCGGATCGCGTATCTCGCCATTGGACTTACTCCAAATACGAGACGTTCCCGCAGAAGGATACGCTCGCTCTCGCACCACTATCAGCACCCTCAGACTGAAGCCGTGGTTGTGGATCGCCATCTCCACGGATCCATCCCGCCAATGTAACCACATCTCCGCCCCTTGAAGAATTCCTCGAACCAGCAATCTCAACGAATGGATCCATCAAGGGATCTCGGTCTTTGAGCGGCCGCCCTCGGAACCCCCAGTCGACAGCCCAGGTCATCACCAGATACTTAACAGCCACAGCCCCGATCTCTCCATGCCGCAACGTCGCAGTCGATCCGTCTCCCTCAACCATCGGCCGTCCCCCCTCCCTCCGCAAAGATGGTCCGCCTCTCGCTCGCCTCCGTCCTTTCCCTCAGCACCGTGGCTGCACAGGCCCTAGCCTCAGGGAACTGTACCGGCGTCGACGCAATCAGCACAAAATGCACCTCAAAAGAAGCCGCCCACACCCGCGACTTCTTCTACGTCGGAGGCCGCTACATCGAAACCACGTCAGGCAACATCACAGTCGACCAACTCTACGTTGAAAAGCTAGTCCCCGTCACCACCAGCCGCACCCGCCGCCGTAGCAGTGTTACCACCACAAAGCCCATCATCTTCTTCCACGGAGGCGGAACCACAGGTGTAACATGGCTCAACACGCCCGACAACCGCCCGGGCTGGGCAACCTACTTCCTTGGACAGGGCCACCCGGTCTACCTCGTCGACATAGCCGCCATCGGCCGATCCACAGAAAACAACCTCGCAAACTTCACCATGATCGCCGGCACGGCGGCCGAGGGTGTGGAGAGGGGGTTTACTAATGTCGAAGCATACAACGCCTACCCACAAGCCATCCTCCACACCCAATGGCCCGGCACCGGACAAAAGGGCGATCCGACGTTCGAACAGTTCAAAAAGACCATCCTTCCGCTGTCCACGAGCTGGGTTCCTCAAGAATACGCCCTCCGCGCCTCGGGCTGCGAGTTGTTGTCTCTGCTCGGAGAGAAAGCATACCTCGTCTCCCACTCCATCGGCGCTCGCGCCCCGATTCTGCTGTCAAATGATTGCCCGGAGTACATTGCGGGTAACATCAACCTCGAAGGCACGACGGTACCGTTCTGGTCGTTTGAGAGCCGCTCCGCGACGAATGCTTGGGGTCTGACCAATACCCCCATCGATTACGATCCGCCTGTTACCAGCGCGGCGGAGCTCGAGACGAAGGTTGTGGGGAACGATACGCTTGCGCACCGGAGTTGTTACCGGCAAAAGGAGCCTGCGCGCAAGTTGCCCAAGATTGCGAGCGTGCCGTATTTGATGATTACGACGGAGGCTAGTGTGCACGTTACGTATGATCACTGTACCGTGGATTATTTGAAGCAGGTTGGCGGACAGCCGGATTGGATTAAGTTGGGTGAGATTGGGATCCATGGGAATGGACACTTTATGCATTTGGAGAAGAATAGTTTGGAGATTGCTGAGGTGGTGAACAATTGGATTCAGGAGAGGGAGGGCGCATAAGGATGCAAAGGAAATACAGCAAATCCAGAGAAAAGAGAAAGATGGCTGTCGTTGAAAACAGTGTGACCGTTTCATACCCTACCTCCGAGCCTCTCAGACGTGGTCTCATTGTCTCTGTAAGATGATAGTGGAAGGAGAGTTGAGGGGGGAAAGGTTTCACAGCGCTGCCAGACTTCGTTTCGCCAGTCCCATCAACCGAGTTGACCAAGGAGTCCAAGAGGGCAAGTGTTCGACAGCTAGCAGTGGACTTGTCACAGATACCTCGAGGTAAAAGTAAGGGTTCAAGTATGACCATCAATGCTTTAATTCTCTCTATTCCAAACACATCTCATGGATGGCGCCTCGACCAAACTTATACATCAATATGAAAGAAGACAACTGTGATTGTTGGAACAAACAAAAGAAAAGTAGATTTTGGCCGCCCTGGGATATCACACGCTAAATCCTGAAAGAATATATATATATCAAAACACTTCCGTCATAGTACAGGTCCGTCAACCACGTCCGCAACCTTTACATGTGGGGCATCACAGTCTGCGACCACACCGGCAGGAAGATGAAGATCAACGTGCTCAAACTCGCAAAGATTGCGCCACCGACCATGGCTTGAAGGACAATCTTGTGCTGCAGCCTGCGTAAGTGGACATCCTTGACACGAATCTTGCGATCAAAGATCATCATCCGTGACACAAACTTCATGAGACCGGAACGTTGCGATAGAAGAGAGGCGCTGTCGTCGAAGCGTTCCCAGGGAAGGGGTTGGCGTCTGGTGAAGAGCAGCAGGAAGAAGCAGCTACCGCGGAGACCTGAAAAGATGAGAGACATGCCGACGAACCACATCGGCCAGGGAGCAAAGGCGTTCCAACGGCTGTTGGCGCCCATAAAGGGGACGAAGGCCTTGAGGAGGACACAGAGGAAGCCGCCGATTGTGAGGGCGATGCCAACGCTGGTGGCCATGCATAGCGTCTCAAAGGTTCCGTTGGAGACACCGAGGCGGACGAAGTTGCGGTGGGAGCAGTTCTTCAGGAGACCGTAGACATGATCTGCAATTGGCTTGAGGTGGATCGGGTCGGATGAGTTCTGGAGGTTGAGGAGAGCGGTATCGCGAAGCGCAGGCGGAATGTTGAGCTCCTTCTCGGCATTGGGGACAAGGAATGTGTTGACGACGGCGTTGAGCTCGATACGGTATGCTGAGGTCGGGGCGATGCGGGTGGGTATAACGTCTGGGACATTGTTGGCACAGATGGGCCTCGCACAGGCGTTGGCCCATGACTTGATACGATCGCGACCATTCGGGCCAACTTTGCTGTTGGGTCTGCATGCGGTCTCCGGGGCGATGAGATGGACGATGTTGGCCATAGTCTCGGTAGCTAAGGGAAAGATTAGCTATGGCTGGCGACGGGAGAGGAATCTAGACGAAACACTCACCTGCTTCGGGATCGCATTCAAACTCAGACATCTGGATGGAGGGAAGCTTCATGCCCGCTGCATCTACTGCGCTGTCTGCCATACTGTCTCGTGATGACGATGACTGGTCGATGTCCTTCTCTGCCATGGGGAAGTTGTTGAGACTTCCAGTCTTTGCGTATGACGCTTCGTAGTTGCGGAACCTGGGGGGACAGTCAGGCTAGGGTTCATAGAGTCATGCCGATGAGTGAGGAGTGGCTTACCAGACGAAGAACTCGAGGTTCTCGGGTGAGAACTCGATGTACTTGAGATACATGTAGAAGTCATACAGTGACATTGGTGAGCCTTTGGTCAGACACGAAGATTAGTTACTGGTCGAATGAGCGGCAGTGGCGATGCCCTATGGTCCGCATCACACCGTGGGCTAAGACGTATACTTACAGGTCTGGTTGTTCAGAACCCTCTCCAAGCTCAATCGGGCTGGAATAGGACTCTTGTCTCTCCCATCCCTACTCAAGGGCCTCCTTCCAGTCCGGATGGCGGTGGCATATTCCTTAAAGTCCCTGTACTCCGGCTTCTTGTACCATACCAACCAGTCGGGGAACAGGCTTGAGATCTTGGATGGTGTCGTCGACTTCGTATCCTCCTCCCTCTTCGTATTCCTTTCCTTACTGGCGTCCATGTCGAAAAAAGTGTGCTAAAGGATACACAGATGATGCGTGTACGACCGAGTTGTGTTGAAGAGAAGCCAGATAGGGCAGAGACAAGGCACGCCTGGACTTTGATAGCGGACGAACCTTCCCCATCATATATCAGAGTCTTCTCCGTCTTAGCGCAATTCTATATCTGCATGTGCCGCGGGGCGCTCGATGCAGGCTTGCAGCAGATCAGACCGGGAGGTCCACCGTCCCACGACTGATTCCATGTCAGGGCGATTTGGCTCGAGCAGGCTGGGACATAGCTCCACCTGCTCCAGGTCTGCTGCAGACAAACCACGCACGATGCACAGACAGTCCCGTCGCTACCTCACCATCCAAAAACGAGTCGAGCGGGATGATTCGGTCAGTAGCATCCGTTAGGGCGCTTTACAAACGCCCAGTCGGCTTCGAAAGCCTCTTGCCTCTCTCCTCCGCCCAGTCATGTCTCATGACGACTGACCAATGGCGGTGGGAGCGGAGGAAACGCCACGGACGGCTGGTCGTGAAAGAGGCTTGCGCCCTTGTATCCAAACTTGGGATACCTCGAGACGTAGGGGAGTTCGGACGAGTCGGCGAACCAACCGATTCCAGCGTGGACGAGTCAAAGCGGCTTGGTGTCGAGGTACCTTTCTCTAGCTTGTCAGTTAGCGCCTTGCACTACTCTGAATTGGGCTGGAGAACTCATACACTTGTGCCAGAATTCGCAGCCAGCGTTGGTGCTTCATGGCGATGTATACACTATTGTCTTCCTGGTGCGCGACCCCTCGGGGCATTCCTCGGATGCGGCGAGACAGGGAACCCGCAGCATTAGGTCCCTCCGTTGGTGAGGTCTTGCTCCAACCAATCCTGCTTGTGCCCATGTTGTGGAGGGTTTGGGCCGATCAGAATTTTGTTTGTCTTTGCCTACGTCGACATCAGCAAACAAAGGAATTGGCCCCCTTCGCCGAGTCCCAGACTCCCTAATCCGGTCGAGTTTGCTGTACGTAAGCTATGAATGGGCGGGCTGTCAGATTGTGCCGACCCAGTAATCAGAGTTCGAGGCCTGCTCGAAAACCGGGGATGCCAGAGTCATTGTCAAAGGACGAATAGATTAGCGGAGCAAAGATCGGAAATTCTTTCGCCATTGTTGGTCTCCTTCGTTGAAAAGGCAAGGCGGTGCAGGATTCCTTTCTGCCCGCCGGCAATGACAATGAAAATGACAAGGACGAGGTCGACTTCGAGGACGTCGCGAACGCACACACAATGCATAGCCCAGACTTGGAGAGATTGCGGTGCTCGGTAGACGGATACGGAGGGCCGACGGAAGGATTTGGTGAAAGGCAAGGCTCGGGCGGGACGATCCCCTCGTGGAATTCTTCAGGTAACCGGACCGACTTATGCTGCTTCGCGCCTTAGCTCCAGAGTGGTAGGTAGGTATTCATAGACAAATTCTTATCGACGGCGCCAGATGCGGTGATGCGGAGAGAAGCTTAGGAAGATGCAAGGCCACCACGTGGAAGAGAGACGTCGAAGCTGGAGATGCAGGGGTCGCAAGCTAAGAGTTGGTGTGCATTGGTCGTAAGGGAGGACGCGATGCGGTACTGGGGGGGGAGCCGGCGAGTTAAGCAGCGAGCACGGGGAGATTTGGGGATGAACCTGCGCAAGGGCCGCCTTGCCTTACGATTTTTAGGTGCCACAACCCTCTGTACGTACTGTAAGGCACCTTACATAAGGATACGTATCTGGGATACCGCGATACCTCACATTCGGCCTCATTTCCTGCCTGAGGTGAAAGCACCGAAATCGATACGCCTTCAGGTACCTTCTCGTCAGCTTCTACGGATACCTCCTGTCTATCTGTCGCCATCTTCCACTCCGTCGTTTCGTGTGCATCTCCTTAACCAAACTTATATTTCAGTCGACAACGTTGCTGCAGTCAGCTATCTGTGACGTACAGCTGGATTTGTATTTTGCACTCTCCTTGATGCAAACAAAGGCCATTGGTTCTCGTTCCTGGACTGTACGAACGAGACATACCCAATCCTCTGGACGTACAAACAGAAACACGGCCTTTTCCGCACGAGCAATGACGGCCATCCCATCACTTGGTCCGAGCAGACCAGATAGAAACCAGCAAGCAGCAAGCAAGAGAGCGTTTGCTACTGATGCCCACGCTGCCGATCAGATTAATTGGGATTAGCCTCGGCAAGGGACATGCAGCTATCGTACGAGTGAGACACGAATTATCGATTCACCCGAGCTGACTTCTCCCGCTTGATGGCACTTGAGAGTCATGCAATTTTCATCACCACGGCATAGTTGCCCTTTTCTCTTAAGTTTACGCTCTCTTCACTGCCTGACCTCCCTCATCACCCGTTCCTGTCCCCCTTTGAAGATGTTTCGCCCTACGTCTAGCTAACCAATATCCTCCGTCTATTGAACTAGGTCACGCACTTCACCTGAGGGGTAACACCACACTGCTGGTTTAGCTTCGAGTCGCATGGGCTGATAAACGGCGGCCCGAGTGTTCTGGTCTTCAACACTTAGCTCGAACCTTCACTTTCTCCACGTTCCGCATCCCTCGATTGTCCTCCAGCGATCGGCACGCACATATTCCGGAGCTCCAGCTCGCGTTCGCGTCGCGGTCAGCATTGTCTCTTTCTTCAGCTCAAGCTACTTCGTACGTGTGTGAGATCTCAAGTCCCCTCAGCGACATCGGTTTATAAGCGCTGTGTTCCCAAAGCTAGCGCAGGTTTGGCAACTCGGTCACCTGCGTAGGTACCACCGACCACCACGGCGGCGGCGGCATACTGGGCTTCCGTAAACGGTTCAGACCTGTGAGACAATCAAGGCCGGTTTGTGCAACCAACTACCTCTGCCTTTCTTCTTGCTTTGGCTCAATATCGTGTCTCTTTGTGGTGACTGGAGGTGGTGCTACCGATCGTTTCCCATTCGATCTGTCATGCCCCGCTGCATCGGGGATGGCGTCTGCGAGATGGCTTCAAGAGAGTTTGCTTGTTTCTGACTGAGAACAGTAATCATGACGTTGGAAAGCCACCACAGATCGGACTGCCCCCTGTCATCTCCCTCGGGAGTCGGCTGTCAAACTGAGCGGGCTGCCAGCCCTGGGAGAAAGCCCCTCGGAGTTTGCGTGATGACCGGGGGCGCCGCCGCCGAGTGACTAGGAAGCCAAGGCGCTGTTATCGTTGGCCTTTTGGCACGCCGTCTCCTATGCAAGCGCATACGCAGGCAAGCAGGCTGATGCAAATCTCAAAGCCACACTGCGAGCGAAGGATCTTGACAACCAACGGCCCTCTCAGGGCCCTTCATTCTGTAATCGCGATCGGGTAACCGGATCCCTTTGCTCTTTACTCATGTTCGACACGTTATTCTCTCTTAATGGGCAATGCATGACAAGTCAGAGCTTTAGTCAGCTCATGTACAACAGCTCCGGCGGATCGTTGAACATCCGGATGCGTCCGGTGATTCCATTTACAAGCCTTGGCTAGTAGCCACGGTCAGCAGCTGCAGTAGGTATTATCATTTGGCAGGAAACTCAAGCCACTTCAAGTCCTTTCTACTGGCTAGGACGGATGAAGTTGTCCGTTACTGATCATTGGCATTCGCCTCCTGGGGGTACTGGTTTGGTGGGAACTGGGGCATCGGCCCTGGTATGGCCCAATACCATGGTTCATTGCCCTGGTTCACACAAGATAAGCTGCATGGCAGTTGCAGATGCCTACGAGGATTGAACAATCACCTCCTGTATGCAGGGGGCAAGCAGCCGTACTCCATCTATCCTCATCCACTTCCCGCAGTCAGGCGTGCCTTGGGAGTCGCGTGCGTCAGGTTGTCACTACGGATTACAGCTTCCGGCCGGCACCCGAGACATTCCCGGCACCGAGCCACAGCTTCGATTCCCTGTCGCCGATCCCGGCCGGAGCTCCGAAGGTCTTCAAATCGGCCCCTACTCGCGGTCACCTTGACCTTGATTATGGCATCACTAGAGAGATCGACCATGTATGTACTTGACAGCAATCCCCCGCAAGGTCGCATCATTCCGTATCCCGGGCAGGGAATAATGGCCATTCTAGGAAGGCCTCATCCCGCCGATGCTTGGCTTGGGGACCATCACCAATGACCAACTCCATTGCCACAGACACCTTCCTGATTGAGCGTCTCAAAAGATGGACATTTAAACCAGGAACTCGCTGCCTTTTGAGCCAGCATGATTTCGGTGACCGATTGATTGATTTGGTACCATCATCGTCGTCGCCGCCATGAGATTGAAGCCCCTCCTCACGCGCTGCGCCTATATGGCGACGATATCACTGGCGATGGCTCAGGAGAAGTGCGGTTCCGAACAGCCAGGACCCGAGGCTTACGAAGCAGCTGTAGCTCTCCGCACCGCCCAGCGTGCCGATGGGCTCTCGTCTTCGTTCTTCAACAAGCGCGCAGAGGGCCTGCTTGTTTCGACATACCTACATGTGGTTGAAGACGAAGCTCACAGAGGGTACGTCACCGATACGATGATCAACGATCAGGTACGCTGCAAGCTCAATTCCTATACAAGGTAAAAAAAAAAACTCGAGGTTCATTTTAGCGACCAAAAACAGATGAGAGTTCTCAATGAGACCTTCGCCCCTCACAACATCCAATTCCTGGTCAAGGACATCAGCCACACAGTCAACGACGCCTGGACAACGCAAGCCCGTATCAAAGAGAAAGCCGAGGCCCTCCGCCAGGGCGCTTACGACGACCTCAACATCTACTTTGAGACAGGCATGATGACCAATCCCAACTCCGCGACAGGGCTCTGCAGCTTCCCCGTCGAGGACCCCTGGGACACGGGCATCAACGGCACGTCGTGGTTTACCTACGACGGCTGCCATGTCAGCGTCGGCACTATGCCCGGCGGACCGGGGGTTCCATGGGATCCGGAAGATAATCTGGGCAAGACGGCGACGCACGAGGTCGGGCATTGGTTTGGGCTTTTTCATGTCTTTGAGGGATTTGATTGTGACGGGGAAGGGGATTTGATAGATGATACGCCGGCGACAAAGGTTGCTACAGTTGGGTGTCCTGTGAGTCAGGATTCTTGTCCTAGGCAGCCTGGGTCGGATCCGATTCATAATTATATGGATTATACGAAGCATGCTTGGTGAGTCCGAAATTCCCTTGAGGAGAGAAGGGGTTCAAAGCTGACGGCGGATAGTCTTTCGGAGTTTACTCTTTTGCAGGAAGAACGCATGTATCGGTCTTTCAACACTTTGCGAAAGGGAAAATAGGCTTCGTGTTGCCCGTTGCAAGATGCTACACAGCGAATTTTCGTAGTTTCCATGCGAGGACACAAGACTATATATGGAAGGATCCGGTCCGGAGTTACGCCCCGAGACCGTTGATCGCTGAGCTCTCTTGGAAGATGTCCCGATCTCTCCAGTGTCCAGCCCCCCCGCGAATTTTCTTGGCCACTGGATCGCTACGACCTAGATTATCCTCACAAGAATCTTGTCCGGAAACAATACACGAAGGTGCCCAAACTCAACGTTAGGGTCTTGTCATCATTGACAAAACTTTCAAGACATATTGCTTCTGTCGTTCCCGTGGCTTGAGACATGCCACCTAGCTGCCCGAAAGCGAGATCCTTTGGCAACTGACAACGAACTCCGTCACACGGAGTAATCCCTGCGCTCCACGCCTTCAACTCCAGGTCTCAACCGTCTCATCCAATTCTTTCATGATGAGTTGTCTCACTCTTTGAGACTCGACATCGTAATCCCATGACTTTCTAAAGCTTAGCTGAACTATCAGCATCTGTCATTCGTCGACTTGCAACGGCTGAGATGCAGCCATCCGGTGTGGTGTGCCATCTAGTGTCCTCTTGTGTGAAGCTGAACTCGTGTTCGGAGAGATTTTGGAAAATTTTACTTGATGGCAAGCCACTTACACAGAGAGATGTCTTGAATCAGCAGAGCATGGAAGCCTTCATAGTGTCCAGAAGAAGTATAAAGCTCTGCCACAAGATAGAACATCGAGAACGAGAAGAGAGTTTCTATAAGCTCACTTACCACTTCAAATCATTCCAGATTCGTATTGCATCAAACAGAATGATGATCTCAACTGCACTCTCAGTCCTCCTCGGAGTACTCGCCATCAGGGCCCATGCGACCACGACCCTAGCGCAGTGCAACGCAGACAAGTACTATCCCATGCCTTCACTCATCTTCCAGAATTCACGATAACTGACACCATCAAGCTGCTACCGCGCCCTCTTCCCATGCCCCTCCCCATCCGCAGTCTCCTCCGCCTCCGCCTTCTGCGCAACCCTCACAGCAGGCGGCATAACGGCCACAAACCTCCCCACCCGCGCAACCTCTGCCTGCGGCACCTCCGTATCCCGCTACATCTCCGCCTGCGCCTGCGGCCCGACCTGCACCCCATCCTCGACTCCCCCGTGCGGCGCCCCGTCCAGCTCCAGTGGCAACCTCCTCACCAACAGCGACTTCGAATGCGGCATCGCCCCCTGGATCGTGCAAAACCTAGACCGATACGCCCGCGTCGGCGTCACCTCGGCGGCATCGCACACCGGCACGCACGCCTTTGAGTCTCGGCTCCTGTACGATCGCAACTCTCAGGATCCCGTCGTCAGCGTACGACTGTCGACACCTGTGTTTTCCGTGCAGCCGGGTGTGCCGTATAAGCTGATATTCTGGTCGTATTTTGATAACCAGGCGGCGGGGTTTATCGGGATCCAGTTTAATGGCGAGCCGAAACGGACGCTGGATGCGGGTGATTTGGGTGGGTGGGGGGTGTGGAAGGTGTTTGAGGTGGAGTATACGCCGGTCACGGATAAGCTTGATATCACGCTCGAGTTCTTGTATGGACGGGTTGCGAGTGTTGTTCGTGTTGATGGGGTTGAATTTGGGCCCCTTCACTGAGGTAGATGCGGGATCAATCCGCAAGATTGCGTAGGCACGTAGGGTGGTATGGAGTGTCGGCGCAGACTACGCGGATCGTCAACACGTAGCATGGCAATCGCCTCGATGCTAAGCTTTTCCATCTGACTTGGCTTTTCCTTCCTTCGCTTGGCAGGCGGGTAACGGCAATTGTGAAATGCAATGTACTCTGAAAGGCAAGTTAAGCGTCGGTATGTGGAGACAATTACGTTCTGTAGCTTCTTGGTGAGAACTCATGCCTTCATCGTTGATTGCTGCCAAGAATTTGATTGGATGATGAATCAGAAGTTTTGTGATGAGGGAAGGTGGATGGTGGAAATACGCAACTACATACATGCGGCACGTATGCATGCATCTCGCCTTCTCTGAACGGCCCGGTCCGAGAGATTAGTTCGCATGCAGATGTGACGCGGGAACTTCTGTGTTTCTTATGCGTAAAGGGCCGAAAGAAAGCCGTGTCTTTCGTGAAACTCAGAGAGATAGTCAGAAATGATCGTCGTGATAACAGGCCCGCATTGTGCTATGTGTCTTATCTGCAGATGGGTGGGGATATCTTCCAGATTTGCCGATGATGCACTCGAACAAACACCATGTAACTCCATATCGGGCAACTCCCCTTCGGTCTATCAACGCTAGGCATTTCTAATGACATTTGGAATAGGTGTATAAATTCTGAATTACTCAGCATCGCCGTGAGTAGTGGCAGACACAAATTGTCCGGATCAGAGCCGAGGGGAATGCTACGTTCGGTACCATTCAGCTGCCCACTTGGAACTTGCTAGACGGTGCTTCGGTCAAAATACAGCAAATGTCCATTTGCAGATGGACAGTGCGGATATCCCTACACAGCCAACTGCTTCAATGGTACTAACGAGTAACGACAATGTCCTAGTTATTGTCCAAATCGGTGCCATGTTTGCTTTGACGTCCTTACAATTTTATTCTCAAGTTACAAGATTCTACGAGCATTTTCGCAACATTACCCACGGTGGCGTTGGTAATTATCAGTAATCATCTCTTGGGTAAAGGATTGAGATATGGAAAAGGTATCGCTCTGGACACTACGCTATACCGTGGAAAACTAGGTTGTGGTCACGGTTCTGCAAGTCTACCCTGCCGGTAGTACACCACACTGCCGGGATCGAATGTGTCTGATACGCCTTTGAAAAACAACCCGATTGATATCAAATTCCGGGTCGTTCACCACACCATCATCGTCTAGTGAGAACCGGATCAAGGTCTCCATGGGAGAATTGGAAATCCGTTGCCAAGCTAGACAGCTTGGCGTCGGAAAAAGCCAAGGAGGCGTATTGAACGTCTCTGCCCATGAGTGGAGGGAGCTTCTGCAATGACAGCCGGCTATCACCCTTCTGATCCTAGGAGCCAACCACGCGGTGGCAATAAATGATGGCCGCTTTTTTATGTAGAGAAAGTCTAAAACCCGGCCATCATATCTTACCACAGCGTGGCAGGTACGTCTCTAGGAGGTAAGTGATTGAAGTTACACATAATGATGAGGCCTATCTCCGGCGTTGATGTCAAGCATTCAGCAGCCCGCATTCATGGTCAGGGGTTCTAGAGTTGCCGAAATAGGATTGAATGCCTGCTCTAGCTGTGGGTAGCGTCTCAAATAATCGGCAACGCGTGGCCTAGATGTGATGGTATGACAGTCGCATCTGCACGATAATGTCTCCTCTCAAAGGACCGATATTGAACTACCGTTCTTGTCAATTCAGCGACACGTGGTCGCGACGTTTATCAGATAATATGATGCTGCTCAGAAGAATGGCGAGTCTCGTTTGAATTGTTTCATGGGGTCCGCCTCGAAGCAAGACGGAAATGTGACAATCATCGACGAGGCTGTTCAGTGATGCAACGAGGAACGAACCCAGAGGCGAATAAGAAAGCAATGGTGCTTTTCCGTCCCCACGTATTTCATCTCATATCTCTCAAAACAGAACCCGCATGCCGGTAAGCAACGCGATTCCCCACCGTGCTGGTGGAAATGCGCGACGAAAGGCCATCAAGCCAACCGGCTGTCTTCAAGCTTGCGCATGCGGGTATCGCACAATCTATCATTCCAATAAACGCACAGGGGATACGGCCTCGGCTGGAATCCCACCAACGGCAAAGCCCATGTCTTGCCACTTATCCCAGCCGCTCTTACTCCAATACCGTCGCCCTGCTCTACCAGCATCCTGCAATGTGACTCAGGCAAAACAGCAACGTTGGCCCCTGCGGACATGACGGATACCACCACACGGATAAGTATTGGCATCTGATCAAGAATCCGCCTCGCTGTCCGACATTTCCGACTGGCATTCGCTAGCAATGGCACCATTTCCCCGCACTATGCGGCTGCCAAGTCTGGGGTTAGTGTGTGTTTGGGGATTTTTTGGGTCTGGGGTAGAACCGGATGATCCCAGCCTTTCTCCGCAGTGGGCTGTCTGTCCTTTGTATTAAGAGGTGGTCCTAGTCAGATATAAGTATCCACGGGCAGAAATCTTCATCTGTGAAATTCTTGAGACGAAAAGGGTAGAGCTGGAACGAGCAACCTTCCATCATCTCAAGTTGCAGAGCATTTGTCGCCCTTGCTCCTGTCATTCTCCCTTCATCGAATCATCCAGACACCACAGACTCCGTCAATATGGCTACCCACAGGAGCTCCATCGAGAAGAACGATGCCGTCTTTGGCCACCGACCTTCTGGAGAAACTCACCTCGAAAAGGTGCCCGAAGCCATCGAAGTCGGCCCCTACCGCGTGTTCGGATTGACCCCTGAAGATGCCGACTTCTACAACAACTACCCCGAGGAGAAGCGGAAGAAGACTTTCCACAAGGTGGGTAGCACGAACACAGCAACACCACGTCGCGCCGACTGACAGATGATGATAGGTTGATGTTCGTCTGATTCCCATGTTGGCTCTGTTGTACTTGATCTGCCACATTGATCGCGCCAATATCGGCAATGCCAAAATCGAAGGCATGGTTGAGGACTTGGGCATGTCGGGTGTGCAGTACAACACGGTCCTGTCTATCTGTGAGTGCCGAAATGAGAAACCTGGATTGATTCTGAGGCGTCAACCGTGAAAGGAATTGCGCTAACTGGTCTTATTCAGTCTTCATCCCCTATGTCCTCTTCGAAGTTCCCAGCAACATCATCCTGAAGAAAGTCAAGCGCCCTTCGTTCTATCTCGGCACCCTTACCCTCTGCTGGGGTATCATCATGACCTGCACGGGACTGGTTAGAAACTTTGGTGGATTGATGGTTACTCGCATTCTTCTCGGCGTCTTCGAGTAAGTTTCACAACATTCGAAATGGCTTGATTCCTCTGGCTAACATTCGCAGGGCTGGATTCTTCCCCGGTGCAATTTACCTGACTTCTTACTGGTACATGGTGAGTAACCAATTTGCAACGCCCCTTAGCCCGTTTATCTAACAAATATCTTCAGCCCAAAGATCTCGCGGTCCGAATCTCATACTTTTACTGCGCCAGCGCCTTGTCCGGAGCCTTCTCCGGTCTCCTCGCTGCCGCAATCGCCGAAATGGACGGTGTCGCCGGCCTCGAAGGCTGGCGCTGGATCTTCATCCTCGAAGGTCTCGCCACCGTCGTAATGGGCGCCTGCTGCTTCTTCTTCCTGATCGATACCCCGACTCTCTCGACGCGCTGGCTCGAACCCGAGGAGATTCGATACCTGGAGCTCTCCATCTTCATCAAGTCGGGCGGCGGAAACCGCGAGGAGGCCGGCGCCGGCGGCAAGGTCAACTGGAGGGATCTCAAGATGAACCTGACCAACTGGCGAATCTACGTCCAGGCTTACTTTTTGGTGTGCCAGTCCGCTCTGTCGTACGGTATCAAGTTCACCCTCCCGACCATCACCAAGTCCATGGGATTCGCAAATACGCAGGCTCAACTTCTTTCAGCGCCGCCATACGTCGCTGCTGCTATCTCCGCCATCACCTTTGCCAAGATTTCTGATCGGTTCTTCTGGCGTATGCCCTTCTTGGCGATTCCCATGGCCATCGTCGCTGTTGCCTATGCAATCATTCTCTCCCTGAATGGTGCGCTCGAGGCAAAGAAGGGAGTCGCCTACTTCTCCGTCGTCCTTGCCGTTGTCGGTATTTACCCCATCCAAGCCGCGGCCGCGTCGTGGAACGCCAACAACATTGCCCCTGCATCCCGAAGAGCCATTGGTATCGCGCTGATGAACTGCGTCGGCAACGTCGGTGGCATTGTGGGCAGCTTCATGTACCTTGAAAGCGAGAAGCCCAAGTACCCCACCGGCTTCGGCTTGAGTTTGGCCTTCGGTGGATCTGGACTCATTGTGGCTCTCTTGCTCGAGTGGAGTTACAAGTCGGCGAACGCACGCAAGGCTAAGATCGCGGAGGAGGCGAAGTCGAAGTACACCGAGGAGGAGCTGTTCAACTTGGGAGACAGGTCGCCCCTGTTCAAGTACGTGCTTTGAGGATGATAGGGAAGATCGGTATTGAACTTGCCCGGACTCGAAAGAGTCAACTTGCTTCAAAGCGTTGTAGTTAGGATTACGAACAAACAAATTCTGTTATGAACCATTCTATTTTGAGCATAACGTTTTGATTAATCACCACTTCTTTTCTTAAATGACCTTACACCATGGCACAACTATTGTATCAGCCAACCGATACACGGTGGTACGGCGTTGCTGTGATTGTAACATGATTCTATCTTATCGCCGAAAGCGCGTCGTCTCCCGACTTTTCGGGATTTGAGACGGAACGGCCCGGGGGTCGGTCCCGGCGGAGACATAAAGCCCGGAGTCTAACCGGTAATACGGAGGGAAGCATCAACGAAGAGACGAGGGTCTTTTGATCCCATTTTGGCACTCAAAGCTGACATAGATCTGTGAAAACATGCAAAAAACGTTGCGCAATTGTTTGTCGGTGTTCTGTACCAATATCAGCCAGTTTGCTGACGCCACACACATCATCTCCGTTGTTTGTTGACACAGCAGCGGCATCGCCGATGAAGAACCATAGAGGCAGCAATTGGGATTGAAGAGAGGAGAGGCTGGATCTATGAAAAGAATTTATGAGGTTCAACCGCCCATCCCTCCGGCTTTGAACCTGACGAATGCTCGTGTCTTTCTCATTGAGATTTTGCCTTTCCGAGAACGGATGGGATCCACCCCGGCAAACATCAACCGGGCGATAACGCCAATGAGATGATTTCATTACACATCGCGGACACCGACTCCGACACCACCCTCCATCGGGTCTAGAGCGCTGACTTTGCAGCTGTCAATTGACGAGTCAATCTCGCCTGTTTGCTTCCCCAGGTGTCGGCTGCAGTGCTCCTCGAGTCCTTGTCGCTGCCGCGCCCTTCATGCGTTCATGGTTTAGCGGGCACTGGCAACCCCATCATATTCCCGGCGGGGACTAATTGCAAACAAAAACTCAAACACGCCCAACACGCGTGCATCGGTTCGGAGAACTGGAGAGGGATTGCTCGCCTCCAACGCCCTCTGATTGCCAAACAGCCATAATCCCCGCGGGGTCTTGCTCTATACGGCTTGGGTAGATCAACCTTGATGATTAAGGGCTCTAGCTTTGTCAACCACATTATCCCCGAGGACGTGAGTCAATCGGAACAAAAAAACGGTCTTCGGCCCGCCGAGGAGCGAACTAAATAACCCCGCGAAACTCATCAAACCCGTCACTACTTGCCGAGGCAGCTGGCGTATTTTCTCTTCCCTTTCCGAAACACTGCCTTCGTCGCAACTCTTCCGTTCCTCAGTTGACAAGCACGAACTTGCACCTTTCGTGTGGTCGCTAACCCGGTATGCCTTCTCAATCTGATTCTTCCAGTCAACGGGGCGGCCACGATGCCGTGGTACGGATGCCTGACAGTGCTTCCAGGGCAGCGGAGAATGAGAAGAATGGCTCTTCGGCAGCGAGCCCTGTCAGTCAACGACCGAGCGAGCAGGTAGAGTTCAAAGAGGGCGGCTATGGATGGTGAGTTGCGCTCCATAACATCATCACATACTGATGAGGGTTGAGTCGCTGACTTGGTACCAGGGTTGTTGTAGGCTGCGTCTTTCTCATCAACGCTCACACTTGGGGCTTGAACTCAGTAAGTCTTTATTAATCACTATTCATCTCACCTCGAATAGCAGAATTCTCACACTTCAATACAGTCTTACGCCGTCTTCCTCGCCTACTACCTCAACTCCGGAGCGTTTCCCGGCGCAAGTCCTATCTCACTCGCCTTCGTCGGCGGGCTGTCCTTCTCTGTCGGTGAGTCTTGCCCCCAAGTGCCCCAACTTCTCCGCGTCATCTCACTCACTCGCTCACCACAACCAGCCCTTCTCATCGCCCCGATTGTCACATTTTGCATCCCTCGCATCGGCACGCAACCGACTCTCGGCATCGGCGTCGTGATCCAAGCGTAAGCCGGCCCGCTCATCCCCTCTCATCCCCTCTCACCCCCAACGTCTTCCGAGACGGCCGGAAATTCCGACCCGGGTTCCTAACACGACTTCCAGGGCCGCTCTCATTGGTGCATCGTTCACGACCCAGATATGGCACCTTCTGCTTTCCCAAGGCATTGGCTTCGGCATCGGCATGGGATTCACTTTCAACTCCACTGTTGGTGTCGTCCCGCAATGGTTCGTTGTCCGCCGCTCGTTTGCGAACTCCATCGCCACCGCCGGCTCCGGGCTGGGAGGTCTCATCTACTCCCTCGGTTCCAACGCCATGATCCGTAATATTGGTCTGCCCTGGGCATTCCGAATCCTCGCCATCTTATCGTTCGTTGTCAATGGCGCTTGTTGTTTGATGATGAAGGACCGGAACAAGGCTCTCGGCAGCGTCCATGTCGCGTTTCATAAGGACATCTTCAAGAGAATTGAATTTTGGTTGTTTGTCGCGTGGGGCTTCTTTGGACTCTTTGGATACGTCATATCCGTGTTCTCATTGGCGGACTATGCCCAGACAGTCGGGTTCAGTGCCAGTCAAGGGTCTATTGTGTCGGCCATGTTCAACCGTAAGTTATCCTTTGTCCTGCTGAATACATGTACTCTGGAGAACCCAAACTAAGTTTTTGCGTAGTATCGCAAGGTATTGGCCGCCCGGTAATTGGTCTAGTGAGTGACCGCTTCGGCCGCATCAACGTAGCTGGGCTGGGCACCATCATCGCCGGTCTCGCCACGTTCCTGCTCTGGATTCTCGCTGCCAAACACTTTGCAGGCCTCATTGTCTTCGCCCTCTTCGGCGCATTCGCCGGGGTGCTCTGGCCGACGGTCGCACCGGTGGGCGCTGAGGTGGTCGGAATGCAGCTCCTCCCATCGGCACTTTCCATTTTCTGGATTATCCTCGTTATCCCGGCAACATTCGCCGAACCTATCGCTTTAACGATCAAGGGTTCCGGGCTCAATGCCTATCTTCCCGTTCAGCTGTTTACGGGATTTATGTATATCGCGGCTTTCATCTCAAGTAAGTCATCGCAGTAAATGCTTCTATCTAGCCAGCCTGGTTGACTAACCTCCCTTAGTCTGGTTCTTGCGCGTATGGAAAATTCGGGAGCTTGAGACCTTAGCCCTCTCGGAAGAGCAGCAAGATGACGCTCTGCGTAACAACGATGCTGTGTCGCTGACAACTTCACGACGTACTGGGCCTAAACCTGGTATGATGAAGTCCCTGCTCAAGGGCATGTTTACCATCCAACGAGTATAGCAGTCTGGAGATGACAGCACTGAGAAAAGGCGTCCATGGCCCTGAATATTCGGGTCTTGGCTAATGTAATTTATCAAAGCTATATGTAGAAACTGATCATTCTCACACACTTGGTACAACCCTCCAAGCGCCCGGAATGAAACTGGCCATCAGACCAAAGATGACTCTAGGGAGAATCTCTGGCCCGTATCTCGAGAAGCCCGCCTTTGCCATTCCCGAGGTGACACCAACGGCGCTGGTCTCCCTGTACGCGTCCTCGGTTGCTAACTCTGCAAATGCCGCGCCCAGATCCGGGTATGAGCAAGCGAGACCAACCGATTCGGTGCTGATGGTGTAACCGCTCGCCTCTTCGTCAATGATGGCGGGTGGCTGCACCAACAACAGTAGCAACAGGTCTGGCTCGGCCTGCAGGTTTTCATGCGCTTTTCGCAGATCCGCGTAGGGCCAGTAGAAGGCGTTCTTGATCATCCACATGACGAGCCACGGCTGCTTCGCGGCGAATCGCTCGTTCCACGTCGAAGAAGAAAGGAGGATGAACCACGGCTTCTTCCAGTCTGCTCCTCCTTCCTTCTTGAGCTGCTTCAGTGCCGAGACGATTGTCGTTGTTGAATCTTGCAGGACCCTGACGGTGGGCTTATTGTCGTTTTCGCCCAGCGCGCAGATGATTGTGTCAGCACCGACGAGACAGGCTTTGATACGCGTCTCGTCGGTGACTTGGCCCTCGATGATTTCGACACTGTTATCCGTCTTGAATTGGGGAAAGGTTTTGATGAGCTTTTCGCGGGAACGGACAAAGATCTTCATGTGAGAAAAGGGATTCGTGGGTTTGGCAAGGAGGGCTTTCAGTGTTTCGCTTCCGGTGCGGCCGGTTGCGCCGAAGATGGCCAGGGTTCGGCCTGGAGTTGAGGGCTTTGCATCGGATGGCATATTGGGTATTTGAAGATAAGGTTAGCCTTTTTGGGTAGAATTTACTAGAAGCTCGGTCGGAAGATTATCAGGTACATTCGCGGGACGCGAACCTATTTAACGAAAACCCCTTTGTTGAACACAAGCATGCCACGCCGGCATGGCAAACATGAAATTCGGTATTCACACCGGTCTCTTAGTTGTGACTGATCGGAGCGGGACCGCTCCGGACAATTATCAAAAGTTGGCCCGCATGAGTTATTTTGACATCTGAAACAGATAAGAAAACAGTACCTAACACTCTCGATTGGCAAATGAGGTATGCAAAGTACAGAAGTAGGCACGGGTTGAGACCGTGCGGATTGGCACGTCTTAGCTCGCGGGATCTCCGTCATAGACTCACGACCTGATGCAACACCGCCCTAGTACATGTATTTCACAGTCGAGCAAACAAGCGTCATAAGTCATCGTAACGCGTGGGGTCACATGGCCATGTAACCCGACGCCCAAATGCAATGAACCCCTCGGACTTCGTTCTCGTTACAAAGGGACTTAGGGGCCGCAGGGTTTTTAGGTCGGTGGACGGTGGCTGAAAATGTCCGCCGTGAAAGTCCGTTTTTTGTCCGGTCGCCGCATCATGTTTTTCTCGGCGGCTGAAAAGCTTGTACCGACGACGATTAAGCCGAACATCGGCAGATTAGCGGTATGAACGGCGCCGATCCCAGGTCACATCCATAGGGCCTTCGACAGGGTACGGAGACAAAATACAAAAGTTGACGCGATTCGCTCCGCCTCTTCGAGCATTTGTGTTACTAGTTGCAAAATGAACACATGAGTTGCCGATGTGGTGGTCCACTTCGGTTGTTGTGCACAAAGAAGCTTGGTCGCCATTCAATTCTACCTAAGGCAATGACATACGATTAAGCATTTCCCACTTTTGGCTACCAAATCGGGATAACGAAAGTCGAAGAGACTTGAGAATGATACGTACACTATTTTCCAACCTGTCATCCGTCTCTTTCGTTTTATCAAAATTGCCATCAAATCGCGCTCAGCATGGTATCTTGGTTCGAGAAAGTACAGCAAGAAGATTGTCCAAACAAGCGGAGACTGAGATGTCCGATAGGGCGCGTCACTGTTTGCATTGCAATCATGTGACGACTCAAAAGATGGCGTATTTGATCAGAAAAGGGGAGCTTCTAAAAGGTAATGTCAAAATTCTTGAAGGAAGAATACGCGTTCCACTGCAGGCAACAGCCATTTTGAATATTTGTTTGTATTAATATTCAATATTCTCGTCATTTCATCTCGGCCGTAAAAGATTTACTATTTCCACCGACTTCATGACGAAAGATGGTGCCGAAGATGATTATCAGCCCCAGGTGGTAATAACGGAGATACAAGGAAGAATAACGACGTGTAGACTGAGTCTTCGTTAGTAGAGCACCAAACTTGGCTTTTACGGTAATGCGACTCTTACCCGTTTCCGAAAGTTCAAACTTAATGCAAAGCTCACAATGCTGATCCCAGCCCCTAAGGGCAACTGCTTCCAATGCAGAAATACTCGCCGTTACCAATGGGTTTGCAGCTGCAGCCGCGAGCCTCAATCTCGATGCCCCTCTTGGCCATGGCGGTTGTAGGGATGAAGTCCTTCGGGCAAAGTCTGCCGCTGCAGAACCACTCATCGCCGATCTTATGGCAAGAGCACTGTCTGGCGACGAGCTCGGCTTCGGGAGCGGGAGCTGCCGCCGCGAGCGCGGCGAAGAGGGTAGCGAAGGTGAGGATGGAGAACTTCATTTTCTTTCTTGTTCTGTCGAGTTGGCCGATTAACTGGGTAGATGGTTGAATGCCTTCAAAACTCTGAGTTGTTGGAAAGTTGTAATTTACTGTATCGATGACAACACGAAGGGGGGACTATTTATGTTTTGACGACAACCCAGCATATACGACTATCTCATGTCTCAATTGGGTTATCAGAAGTCTAGACATAGCTTCTGCCTGTTTGTATTCGCCTTCGACACCTACAACCTTTGCGAGCTTCCTCTTCTGGTGAATTCGCATCTGCGACTCGATTCTCAGCTTCGCCCAGTTTTGCTGAGACTGGAGCTATCTTACCTCAAAACCTTGAGATCAAACGTGGGAAACTCTGCTGATTGGAAGAAGCACTTCTCGAAGGATCGCGCATTTTTTGACCTTTTGCGCAGCTGTGCCACCTGAAGAGGCACGGCCATACCCGATTCAGCAGGTCGTTGAAGTAGACCCGCGGTTAGTATACTAGCGCCACCTCCAAAGACTTGCGGGATGTGAGACTCACCTAGTCCTTTGGATAGAAGCGTCTGAGACCGGGCACTTATATCGAGGTTGTGAACATATTGTGGGTACTTTTGACCTCATTGTTTTTGGTGTGGCGGTCGGTGGTGCCCTATCGCTTTACGGCAGACCGCACGCGCGTATGTGTGAGAGAGGCAAAGTCACGGCTAGGCTCCAGGGGGACTGAGGTCTGCCAAGCAATGCTATCTTGAAATTGTTGCTCAGGCCAATAGTATATGAAGCTGCAAGACTATGTTCCAGATTCCTCCAAAAGACCCAGTCACGGTGTACTACTAGTACTGGAGTTGTATCCACTCGGAATTCCGCGAACTCGCCAAGCCCTACAGCATACGTGACTTGTGAGATGCCAAGGAGCAGGAAGAGGCGCAAAATGGCACATTCCCTTTTGGTACTTCGTGCTGTCAAGGAATTCCCACAGAGTTAACACTGAGGCATGAGTAACGAGTGGCTCGTGATGCCGTAATGCGACAATGCAAGTCTGTCTGCCTGAGCCCCTGGTCACAACTTTAAGTAGGACTAGCTATTGTGTGACGATTTCATTCGCGACATACATCGTCTATTGAGAGCGAGCCCTGAGTAGGCAAACATGGTGATGGGCGACATGTATTGGGGTGGCATCGGCGTTGTGTTCGCAGACATCGAAGGCGACTACTCTATATTGCGGTAAGCGAGATGTGATCAAAATTGGCTGCATATTTTCTACACCAATTACTAAACCATCTAAATGTCTGCCAACAAGAAGAGAAACAATTTCTTATCCTCTTGCCGAAGAATCGAAGTTTCGCACTCCATCTCAGGAGCCTCAAAAGCGGCCAAGTTGTTCTTGAACACCCCTCTCAGAAGTACAGTTAAGATATTAGCTTTCCCTATTCCAGCATCTCCAGCTCGTACTCCCGAATCAGGATGCTGCCACCCAAACGAGACTTAGCCCAATTGAAGACGCTAAATCGATACCCCATGAAGAAGAACCACTCGTTGTTCAGCTCATACACAGGCCCAAGCTGTTCAAAGTTGTCACCATCGGTGCTGTACCAGAACGTGGCATTGGGCCACGCACCCGATCCGGCCACAGGTGGTGCAATGTCGGCCTTGATGCGAAGCCACAAGTCGCTGCCAGCGATAGTAGGTCCTTCCGCTTTGACCTGTCCATTCGAAGTTGTCACCCAGTCCGTCAACGAGTCCCGCACGACCATGCTGATCTCGTCAACATACACAAGCTTGGACACGCTATTCACCTTGTGTATCCCGATATAAGCGCTTAGTTGACGCAGCGCTGCTATACCTGCCTGGTCCCCGTCCACCATCCCAGATATATCGAGACGGAACGTAGCCTGACTTCTGGGGCCGACGATGCGTTGCGTAAGGGTATTTGCGGCTCCGTACAGCCCCTCGCATACCGTTGCAGTTCGCAGGGTGAGACCGTCGTATCCCAAGCTCCAGACATTATTATCGGGGTTGTGATTCCACTCCCAACGGGGGTCTAAGGCGACGCCGTCGAACTTGTCAACATAAGACCCAGTGCCCTGGACTGTCTTTGAGGTTGTGATGGGCATGGCGTACTCGGCACCCCACCCTCCGTTTGCGTCTGTGACCACGTTCGGCCAACCTTCGGCATTGAAATCGATTGGGGCGAGAACGGGGGCACGGCCACCGGGATAGACGTCGATGAAGGCCATGTAATACCACCTCCCATCCTGGGTCGATACAAGGCCGCCTTGATGTGGTGCTCCTGCTCCCTCGACAGGAGCCTTCATCTGCGCAACCACCTCTCGGGCTTCATACGGACCCCAGGGACCCGACGTCGATTTCAGAACATGCTGCTCGTCTCCGGGCTTGGTGACCCAGATGTAATAGTTGCCATTGATGTGGTAGAATCTCGAGCCCTCGATGTACCTGTGGGCATCTTCAGTGTACACAACCTGGTAGGAGTCAGTCTCTAGGGAAAAGCTCCGAACCATTGCCAACTTACCTCGTTGCGAACCTCTGTGAAGCCATCTGGCGACAGCTGCGCAATACGGATGTCGATGGCGCCGTAGGCGATGTACATAGTGTCGTCGGTATCAATCAATAAGCCGAGGTCATAGTAACACTTCGGAATGGGGTCGTGATGAGTCCACGGGCCCTCGGCGCTGGACGCAGTGTAGATATGCGTCTCATCTGTGCCTTGGATGCAGCCATACCAGTAAAAGACGCCGTTACTTTCGCGGTATCCCAGCGAAGAGGCCCAGACCCCGTTGACGTAAGCTGCGTGATCGCTGCCGTTGAGCGAGAATTTGGCACCGGGAAGTTCGGGCACCGAGTGCGAGACGAACTCCCAGTTGACAAGATCGTAAGACCGGAGAAGAGGTGCGCCGGGAGAGTAATGCATTGTTGAAGCACTGTAGTAAAATGCGTCGTCGACCTGGAAGACTTCAGGGTCTGCGAGGTCGGCCCATATCACTGGGTTGGTGAAGGTCGATTCCTGACGAGTGGTCAAGGCCGAACCGACTTGACTGAAGCCAAGAAGGATAAGGGAAAGCGCTGCAGGAAGTCGCTGTCTCATCATGACTGCTCAGAAATGGCAAACAATGCCGATTGCGTTTTTTTAATTGAGGGATCCAAGATACGATGGTGCTTCTGTCATTCTCAATATTATTTGTTGGCTTCTGTCAATGGTTTATATGTCCGCCGCACTCTCAAATGCCAAGATCTCAGAGAATTGTTTCTCGGCTTGACCTTGGGTCCGCGTTAAACACTGTATGCTCTAGGTCGCCATCGTCGCTTCTAGATCATGCGAGACGGCAGTATATGCTATCCTGTCGGACGCTTGGGTATTGGGCGAGTAAACCTATTGCGATACCTGATGAAGTTTTTAGTGTGATCTACACAATAGCCTCGCGTTAGCTTTCACAAAGCATATCTACTACATGCCGTGGTCCAAAACTATGGTTATTCCAGATGACCGATGCATATTCTCCACATGGAAGATTCGGTTCGTGTGGGATAGTCTCAACCGCTAATCTCTCATTGATTCGGATGGAGGAATTAATGCGGGGTGCAGGTGAGCGTGGGTAGCTTTCGTTAATGTAACGCAGCTCAATTACCTTCCAGCGTGGTATATAGGTCTGGTCAAAGACTGTGGATGAGTTCGGCGTAAGGACCGAATCTTCGAGCCAAACGGATCGGGCCGCATAAGAAGGAGATGGGATACCTGATCAAACCTTTTGATCGGCAATCGGGTAAAGGAACAATATGAGACCATTCTTCTCATGACTTGCTTTACCCTTGCAATGGCTATCAAGTCTGCTCATGGTAGACCAGGGCAATTCTTGTGTTTTATTTCGCTGTGTCAAGTCATTCTCGGTGGTTAGGCCGTTGTAGTGATAAAGAGAAACGCTCGGTGCTAACGGTAAAGCGAACAACTTCTTGGTTGTCAACTTTGATATGAGATCGACACCCCCGCATGAAATAGGTGGTAGAGAGGGTGAATACCCTCGCACAACCCAGCTACCGGGCCTGCATGTCATTTAGCCGGAGTAAGCGTCCTCTCTTGGATTTCTGCCCTTCGTTTCAAGGGTACAAATATCATGAAGAAATTATCCAGGATGATTTCTATTGCTTATGCCAAGGAACAGTCTCTAGAATGCTCATCTTTGCGGAGTATATAGCCTGCTTGTCCAACATTGTGCTGATTCCTTCTGATCTTGCAATCACAGGAATAGTCATTAAGCTCTTTCAAGATGACTTCTTTTATATGGCGTTTGACTTTAGGGGCTTTGCTCCCTTTTTGGACAGCATGTCTGGTGGAAGCTGATAACTCTACGTTCCATAACCCAATTTTGCCTGGTTGGCATTCCGATCCGTCTTGCGCCCAGGTCGACGGCACATTCTACTGTATCACGTCGAGTTTCATCACATTTCCGGGCTTGCCAGTATACGCCTCCAAGGACTTAATTAACTGGAAGCTGATAAGCCACGTGTGGAGTCGTGAAAGCCAAATGCCTGGCGCCAGCCAGCAAACCAAAGGTTGAAACGCCTTCCTAATGGCTCACCCAACTGCACAATGCTGAGCTTCTTTCTACAGGACAACAAGAAGGCTTCTACGCCGCAACCCTTCGGCATCATGATGGCGAGTTCTGGGTGGTGTGCGAGTACCTCGGTCTGCCTGACGGAATGCTAGGCACGATCTTCAAAACCAGGGATCCATTCGACGCAGCAGGGTGGAGTGACCCTTACACATTCCCAACGCCCAACGGAGATTTGGATCTTTTCTGGGACGACGACGGAAAGATGTACATCCCGGGAGGCGGCCACGTTCTCCTCGACGTCGACCTCGAGACGCGGACAGTCATCAACAACATTTTCCTCTGGGCTGGCACTGGCGGTGTATGGCCTGAAGGTCCTCACCTCTACCGCAAGGACGGCTGGTACTACATCTCTGCGGCCGAAGGAGGGACCGAGACTGGACACTACCAGGTCATGGCTAGATCTTCTAGCCTAACTGGCCCGTTTGAACCGTGCCCGTATAACCCGGTCTTGACGAACAAGGGCACCGATGAGTATTTCCAGGTATGCAAACACGTTCTTCGGGATACTTCTTGGTTGGTTCTAACTTCGGGATGACAGACTATCGGTCACGCAGATCTTTTCCAAGACTCTGTTGGGAACTGGTGGGGTGTCGCTCTCGCCACACGTTCCGGGCCAGAATGGAGAATCTATCCCATGGGCCGCGAGACAGTCATGTTCCCAGTCACTTGGCGGGAAGGCGAGTGGCCGATACTGGAGCCTGTCAGGGGCAGAATGTCGGGTTGGCAAATGCCCGCAACATCGAGAGACCTCCCGGGAGACGGCCCATTCAACTCGGACCCCGACACCCACGACTTTACTACATTGAGCAGTATCCCTCGCAATCTCATCCACTGGAGAGTTCCCACTGAGGGCGCCTTTTCGATTGATAGCTCGATAGGACTCCATATCGTGCCTAGTCGCGCGAACCTCACGGGTGATAACGCGGAACTGGATGGTCGTTCGGGGCTATCATTCATCGGACGACCTCAGACGGACACTCTCTTTACCTTTCAAGCCGTCATTGACGCATCACTTACTGATGTTGGCGAGGAAACTGGTGTTACGTTGTTCCTGACCCAGTTCAACCACGCAGATGTGGGGGCAGTAATCCTCCCCAAGACGGATGGCTCTGGAGGAATTGCTCGCATGCTACGCTTCAGGGCCACAGGAGAAGATGCACCGGCAGAAAATCTCGTCAATGTGCCTGAAGCATGGGGAGACGAGCCGATTCGGTTTCAGATTGCTACAGTCAACAGCACCCACTACGTGATGGCCGCATCCCAGGCTTCTCAACCGGACCAGCAAGTCGTTATGAGTACGTTCTCGGCAAGATTGGTTAGTAGCCAGAGTGGTCCTTTCACCGGGTCGTTGCTAGGTATCTACGCTACCTGCAATGGTGCTGGCTCTGGAGCTAGCTGCTCTTCTGGAGGCGATGTCTGGGTGAAGGAATGGCTTTACGAAGGCAAAGGTCAATACTATACTGCAACGGATTTCGTTCCAGAGTAGTATTTGTGTCGACAAACCCGATGTACGGAAGCTTTCTCTTCTAACTTTCGCATTCATTCATCATCTATCATCCTCATCTCTTTGTTGGCCTGCTTCCAAATTTCTTTCATCGTGACTTCTCCTTCTGCGCCTCTCCATTTCCTCCCATCCAAGTGCCGAAGACACAATTGCTTTCCTTCATCGGGATAAAATAACCAACAGGCCCATCTCGCCCACATGCCCTGCTCTTTCATCTGATTCCGCGCCCGATGTCCGATCGTATCCTCGATAAACGCCCCTCTAGGTATCGCCAGCCGCGTCGGAAAAACGCGCGTCAAGTAATGGTCCGTAGCTGCGATGTGCGGCTTATCATGCCAGAAGAACATGGGAGTCAGCGGCACCTGCGTCCCCGGATGCGACTTGGATGTGAAATTCCGCCTGAGCTTGGCCGTCAACGCTCTTAGATGCGAGAACTCTTGCGCGTGAGCAGTCTCGGCATATTTCAGCATCCGCACCGAAGCAAGACACACATATTTTACCGGGCTCTCATCATCTGAGTCTTGTGTCTTCATGACGTCGAGTATTGGCGCTACAGGAATGTCATAGACGAGCGTCCAGTCATGCTGGTGCACCCAAACGTATGGCGTTGTCGCTATTCTTAAAGCTGTCCTCACCGCTAGGCCGAAACCCAGCCTCTCTGACGGCTCCACGAAAGATACGTGAAGATCCTTGGTCCGGCTTACAGTGAACGTCGCCGAGTTCGTCGTCATAGTCGCCGCCCGTCCGTTGTAGCCATATTCGGCTTCCCCTTGCTCTCGACTCAACTCGTGTGGGCTTTCTTGTTGGTCGTATTCTCTTAGCACGAGCTTCTTGACATTGTCTTTGTACCCTTCATACTCCTCCGCGCCCTTCTCCGTCACCTGGCCCTTCTTCAATCTCGGCACGTCGCCTATGCGCTCATACGTGTCCAAGACAACGATGATGCGACATGACAAGAGGTCACTGCAGTGAAGGCGGATGGATTTGAAGACAGCATCCAAGAGTTCTGTCGAAGGCGCGGACGGAGTTGGCGATGTGGTTATTATCAACGTCAGAAGCTCTGAGACCGATGCCGGCACTGGCGGCGCAAGGGTGGAGGACATGGTTCCCACCGAGTGTCATGTAATGGGAGAAGAGGAGTGGAAATATTCTGTTCAGACGGGAGACGTCGACGGGTACGTATCTGGTCGGAGTTAAGACTTTTTTCGGTGAGGTGGGGCACCCCGCCGGAGCCTGCACCAAAAATTGTTGGTTGCGGCGGCCGGCAGAAAACTGCGGCAGCTTGAATACCTTGCAAACTTTGAGATGCAAAAGAAATACACGGTTGCCGTGGCATAGGCTGATTCCGGAGTTGAATTAATGGAAAACTGCAGTCATCTATTTCTCGCTGAGTGATGTGAGTGCTGCTTGACAGTTTCGGCGGCGCCTAAGTGTAGGAGGCCCAATCCCGGGCCCGGACTAGCAAGCCCTGACTCGGCGGGGGGCCGGGCCCGCAGCCCGCGCAAAAATTTCAAACCCGGCACTCAGGATGCAGAATTTTCAAAAGATTATGACCAGCCTGGGGGTCGAACCCAGAATCTCCTGATAACATGTTTAATCGTAGTCAGACGCCTTGCCATTGGGCCAACCGGCCATGATGGTTTCAATCCATCACGGGATGTTGGAGACGAGGGCCGGCCTGGGCTTTATGATGTCTTTCCTGGCACCACGTCTCGACCATACAACAACAAGCACTACCTAACCCAAAGCATGTCACAGGCATTCTAACGATGATCAAGACGGTGCTTGATCAGCCACGTCAATAATTTATCAGTTTATTGCCATAGGGTATCCCAACCAGCCGTGCCCAAAGAACTCCAAGCAATGTTGAGAAAGCAAACACATACCAGATCATCACACCCACTTTCCTTCCAAGTACTTCACACCAGCCCCTCGACCTCAGACCTTCTTTTTCCAAGCACTCAAGAAAAAGTACCCCCCACAAATCTCCGACGTCTGCGCGCCATTGCAATGCATATCGCAGTTCCACGCCGGCGCAGCCGTCGTCGGCGGCGTCCGCGAACAATAGCACTGGTCCCCGAACTCGGTGCCAAAGTACTCGTAGTCGGAACACACCCCGGCGCAGAGCCGGTTCGTCTGGTCCTCAATTTGCGTGTACTTGTCCGGGAATACGCGGTTCGAGGTGTCCTCGTAGCAGCCAATGTACTCCCAGTCGACCACCTGCACCCATGTCGTCGTCGCGGCGGGCGCTGCTGTCGTTGATGTGCCGTTGGTGTCTGAGCCGACTGTTCTGTGATGAGTGTCAGTATCGACCCTTCAGCCGGTGTTGAATGAGGTGTTTTGATGGGGTTGTTCACTTTGTCGCCGCCACGTTCTTGAGGTCTAGGATCTCTGAGCTCTGCCTTGCGAGCATACTTCCAAATACCCCGGCAACGATGGCTAGCAGCGCAAGAAGGAATCCCAGTATACACCAGAGTATGAACATCGCCATGCTCATACCACATATCCTCCTCTTCGACGCCGCTTGTGCATGAGGATGGCTTGGTATACCGGGTACCTGGTTGTATTGGTGATAATACGGCGCGCCCACAATCTTGTCCGGCTCCGGCACTGGATGAAGACCGTTCTCAACGTACGAGTCGTCGACAACCTGCGGTTGACTGTAATGCGTGTTCATGGGTTGTGCCGCCCTCGCATCGGATCCTGTCGGGTCGATGCTATGGCCCCCCGTCTGCTGCCCGTAGGAATGATCCATCTCGTGCGCCTCGTCTCGCCAACTTCCACCTGACCGCCGAGTGTGGTTGATATCAAGCAACGCCTTTTGCTCGGGCGGCTGCATCCAGATGTCTGACTTTCAAGCAGATGGGAACGGAGTTTCGCTGCGAGATAATGTCGATGAGTGACGTTAATCAGAAAGGAAAGTAAACCCAGAATCGTGGAACAGCCTTCTCTCGCGGAACAAGACGGAGCACCTTGCTTAAGAAGCGGCTTTACAACTGAACAGGGCTGGCGCTAGGCAGCCGAATCATAGAGCAGGGGGTTTAGCCATCGAACACAAGTAGAATTCTCCCCCTTGCTGGAACCGCGCCACTGCCACGGTGCTGCCAATCGCGACATGCCGAAGTCGCCTAGCACTTTAGAGTCTCACATTGTCAGCACCAAGACCTCAGCTTCGCCGGCTCACGGATCTCATGAATGGGCTAGAGAGCTCTCGCATAGCAGCTACAGCAGCCGCCACTCGGGCTGTATGGGATGAACGTGGAATACTTTCGTTGAGACTTTTCTACCTCGTCAATTGTCGATCTTGTCCCAAAATTAGCCTTACGAGGGATCACAATAAGCTTGGCATTGGGGGCTCGGTGCGACGTGCTAATCTCCTTTGAGGTCTTTCCAATTCCCAAAAACTCGTGCCTAGAGTGGGTTAAGCATATTTCTCTTGGCTGTCAGCCGCTTTGACGGGGAGACCCCCTGGAGAAGAGAAAAGCCCACCTGAGAAGTAGTCCCTTTCAATACAAACACTTTGATCGCTTTGCGGAGTACTCCAGTCAAGTAAGTGCGCTCCTATTCGCAAAAGCTCTTTCTGTTTTCAAGGAGCGCTGTCCTTTCATGTCCATGCTGCAAAGTGTGCTCTCGGCATCGCGTGGCATGACGGTGCTCAGATGAGACAGTGTCCACCTCCTCGGGTAAGGTACTTATGAGACGAAGGGCAGTGAGTGCTGTCGATGTGCAATAATCTAGATCAAAGTATATTGTCACTATTCTCCATGATCCCCTCTTCTGCCTCATGGTTAATAGCTCTCACGTCCAGATTCTATTTCAGAAATGAAGCATTTCACTCATCATGATCATCAGCCATCCCGACTGACATGCATGCGCCATCAGCGCTAACCCCGCCACCAATCTAACACTCCCGAAGCTGACTTCTTCGCCTCAACCTTGTTTCTAAATAGACATTTCATCATACCTTACCGGTTACTTTAATGTCATGTCTCGAAACAGCCTCCCAATCATCGCCAAGAAACAGTAAATACCATCTTCTTGTAAGAACCCTGTCCAAAACGGAGGGGAGGGCGAGGTCCGGGCCGCAGCAGCCACAATGGCCTTCTTCCTCCGCCACCTAACAAACCTAACCTTCATCGCAGAAGAACCCTCCCTAAGCAAAGTCGTCCAACACGTCCGGTAAACCGCCGTATGTCTCGCGGTCCTCGGACAAGTGGACCACGGCACCGGTCTACTGACAATTCTCCACGCGCACGGGATTCCGCCGTTCGACCTCCGAGAATTCGGGCCCGAGGTCTTTTCGAGGACTTTAGCCGGTGCCAGGTTCTTGGCAAGGGATGCGACGGCAATGGATCTAGCACGTATGAGGTCCCCATGAACCCCCCGCGCGCGGACCCATTTACGCGGATTGTGTTTGCTTTCGGGTGGGAATGTGTTGGGAGATGGCCGCGGTGGGCTACACCTGTTCCGAAGCACTTTTCCTCCTCCTCCTCCTCCAACCATGGACAGCAATATCGTCCAGATTCAGACGCCGAGATAGAAGTGGCATCCTTTCAACACAGTGAAGATGACAACGATAACGAGAGCGACCCAACCCTCAACGCCCTGGAACGCTACGCCCGCACCCTAGTCTGTAACCGCTTCGCCCCAACCTGGCACGAAGACGAAGCAACCTACGAACTCGCCCGCGAGCTGGCACTAGGCCAGGACAACAGGACGAACCCGCATGGCCCCGTCTCGATGCGTCTGGCCAGGTTCTGGGGTCTCTGGGAGCGCATGCTTGCGCCGTGGCAGATGAATCAGGTCGTCAAGGGGACGGGGCGGGTGTTGGCGCTTGATCTTTCTGTGAGGTTGTTTGGTGATGCGGTGGATGGTGGGGATACGAGTGGTGATGGAGGAAGAAGGGGATCGATTCGAGGAGGAAGTTGTTGACGGGTTCGTCCCCGAAGAAGGTGAAGAGATCGAGGGAAGAGTTGAAAGTTGCGGGAGTAGTACCGACGCAAGTGAAGAAGAGAGCGCCATCGAGTTATGGGGGAGAACGATAGCGAAACGCTCCACACCGCGCAGGACCAGATGCCTATGCTGGGCAGCATGCGTGAAATATGGCGTTACGGCTGGTTCACGGATCCCTCCGAGAACGCTCTCGTCAAGCACCTAGATATCGACCTCGCTCACATTCGCGAAGCCGCGGACGCGGGGTGCAAGATACTCAGACGAAGACTGGAAAAAGGACCGGTGCGGTCGTACGAGGGGTATACCATCGCCGAGCTCGCGCGCGCAATCGACGAGAACACAGGCGCCGATGCATGCGCCGTATACCCCCGATGAACTGCGCGATCGGGAGGATATGCCCGTCGAACGGACGGTTCTTGGACCGGTGGGCCTTGATAGGGACAAGATCTTTCGTCCGGAGAGCTTATTCCGCTACCCGGTCCCCTCGCACCAGGATATCCAGGACCTTGAGAAGAGGCTGGATCTCAGCGCCCCATTGCCCGATCAGTACAAGGCTTTCTTCCGGGTGATGGACGGGATGGGACCGGTATGGTGGAACGAATCGCAGCATCTGCGTATCCTGGCCCCGCTGTCCAAGGTCACTATTGAGGACGACGAGCTTCCGCCAAGCATGCAGCTCGAGTTGCTTCCATCCCGGGGTCTCGCTGACGGCACGTGTATATCCTGGCCCCTTCTCCGGCGGGTAATCTGTATTAGTGAGGGCGGTTACAATGGAGACCTCTGGCTCGTGGAGCCGAAATACGTAGCAGAAGCCAAAGAAGCTTTCTTCCAAGTCTACGACCACGCCTCAGAACAGGACCGACGTTTGCTCCGTAGGGGAGTAGAAGAAGTCTACGGCAGCATCGATGGTTTCCGCAAGTTGGATTGGGGTCTGTTGATGTGGACGTCGTGGTTCACGGAGATGGTTCCCTACCGGGACCTAAGTGCCCTGATGGACGAGTTGGCGAGGGGTAGTCGGCGGACGGTGAAGGAGTGGACGCTTCGGTTCGATCCGAGCACGATAAGGTTGAATGCAAGGTTCTATAAGACGGCTAATGCGTTGGATCCAAGCAAGGAGGTGGACAATGTAAAGGATGGCAAGGGCAACCTTGTGCTGTCTTCGCCGGGGACGATGGCGATGGGACCGTTGGTGTATCCGGAGAATGCAATGACCATGCCCATGGTCGATCACTGATCCCAATTGCTCAGAGTGAACCATGACCCACTCGTCTCGAGCATGGTGATCGGGGGTTGACAGGACAGGAGAATCTCGACGGGTATAAATAGACGTCAGTCGAAGATCAGTCACCTCGCAAAGGACCGTTCGCTATCTGTTGGTTGTCGAGCTCCGGGAATGCTCGGCCTCATGCTCGTCATCCTTCCTCCCATTTGACTGAGGCTACTTTTGCTTTCAAGCAGCCGGACATTTCAAAATCCATCGCACCGCTTCAAAGCATCATAGCCGCTGATATCTGACATCACATCGTCTCAATCTCGACTGATCCATAATGAAATACGTCTCAAATCCCGCGAGACACCTGTCAGCAGAGCTTGCCAAATCAACGACTTCTACAAACCTGTCGATTGAACTGGACGGCTTAACTGCATTCGGGAGTCATCGCAGCGAAAACGTCCACGGCCGTGAAGCTCCGCCAGATCCTTCAGCCAACTATGTATCGCTGTGCGGCTGCAGAGAGGCAGTACAACTGACGTAGTTCAATGTATATAGAGAGATAGAGAGAGTCAGGGATCCTCAAAGAACGTGAAGCTAACCTCACATCCTTCCTAAGTTGCGAAAGTCAATCTCGGTACCCGTGCGTGCATGGAAGCATTGGATAGCTCAAAGAGTTTCGTAGTGTACCCTATCCTCATAGTAGTCGGGTTTGACTCACAATCGGGACGTGTCATCCCTCTTGTTCTTCACTCCCGTTTCATTCCCAAGGTGCTCCATACATTTGGACGTTTTCAAGACTCATAGCAAGGAAGTGGATTAATGTAAGTGATTATGGTATCTTTTGCGTCAATTAATCTGTCACTTCGTGCATCCGCCTTGCTTCATTCGCTTCATCCGCTTCAAACACACTTTTACACATGGACAATTTCTCTTAACAGCCCCTGTTGGATATTATTATATAATCCCGAGAGTTGAAACTCTACCACAGTGCTTAGACAGCGGCTCCCTTCTTCTCAGGTTCGGCAACAACCTCATGGGTATCTTCTGCGGGAACCGCGCCGTGACGGGTGACCTTGAGGTTCCCGGCGGCAATCTCTCGCTCGATTTCGTCGAGACGGGACTTCTTATGATGGGTCTTCCAGGCTGGAAGACCGGAGTTGAAGACATCATCCATCTCCTCGAGCGTGAAGCCCTTGGTTTCAGGAGCAAAGAATGCGGTGTGAAGGAATGCCAGGGCGTTGAAGGTCGCAAAGATGTAATACATCTTGAAATTGATGTTCCACACTGTAAAGTACTCATTAGTATTAACATCAAACGTGCTGTATTGTTCAACTTACACAGAGGGGGGACGGCAAAGGCAAGAATCATGTTCCAGAACCAGTTGGTCGAAGTCGATAGAGAGACGGCCTTGGCACGAATCTTGCTTGGGAAGATTTCAGCAGGGTAAGTCCATGATACCGGGCCCCAGGTAGTGGCGAAGGTCGCGACAAAGAGATACGAGCAAGAGACGATAGCGGCGGATACAGGCTTTTGGTTGAGGACGAGCCAGGTAACAGACTCGTTGTCGGCGTTGCGTGTCGCATCGGTGTTGGGCTCTCCGTAGTACTGTTGCAGCGCGCCAGAAATGAACAACCAGGTCATCATCATAAATGAACCGCCAACTAGCAGGGGGCGACGGCCAAGCTTGTCGATGAAGATAATGGCGGGAAGAGTCATGAGTACGTTGATAATGTACTGAATAGATGCAGTCAGGAGGGGGTTGCCCATGCCGGCACCCTGCATAATGTAGACAATGTAGTCTAAATTAAATCAGCAACTTCTCGTTCACATGCACGAGTGGAATATCGTCACTTACACATCATGATGTTCATTCCGCACAGCTGGGACCACATCTGGATGCTCATACCGAGCAACACACGCTTATACATACGAGGAGCGACGAGACCCTTGAAGCTAGAAATGTTCTCTTCTCGCTCGAATCGGAGGGCCTCCTCGATCTCTTGGTACTGGGCCAATACCTTTGGGTGGTTGACGTCGCCGCTGCCGTGAAGGTGGGCGAGGACCTTGATGGCTTCATCCCAACGGTCCTTGCTAGCAAGCCAACGAGGACTGTAGGGGAAGAAAAATAGCCCAATAAACAGGACGGCAGCAGGCACAATCTGGACGCCCCAAGGAATGCGGAAAGCGGCGGTCGGCTGGTCGGGATCAGTTGGGCCATTCCCAATGCCCTCGGCAGCGCCGTACTGAATGAAGTATTGAATCAAGATACCCCATGTAATTGCCCACTGTTGGAGCGAAACAACGCGGCCGCGAATCTCCTTGGGGGCGATCTCGGACTGGTAGACGGGAACAATGGAGGAGGCGATACCGACACACATGCCCGCAATGACACGGCCGACGCAAAGCATGCCGACGTTGACGGAAGCGCACTGAAGGATGGCGCCAATGGTCCACAGAATACAGGAGAACTGCAGTGCGACCTTGCGAGAATACTTGTCGGCAATGAAGGAGGAGACGAGAGATCCGACGAGGGAGCCGGCGGGCATGGAAGCAGTAATACCACCCTGACGATATGATGTAGGGTTTCCAAAGTATCTCTTGTAGGCACCAGTTCCTAGAACACCACTCATGGAGCTGATATCAAAGCCGAAGAGGCCACCGCCTAGGCTCTGGTTAGTAAGATCCTCAAGGTTTGAGGCCACCCAAGAACTGAGGTTAGCTCCACGTACCAATGGCGGCGAAACCGCAAATGAAGTAGATGTTTTGCGCCTGATACATGATGGCGATATTCGCGCAAAGGCGACTGTCTCTGAAGTTGTGTTCAGTTACAAATAGTTGAATCGTCCGGCTAGGTAGGACGGAATGAAGTTGTAGTGCCGTATGTATTCGTCAGCGGAGGAGGTCTCTCAAGGCTCTTGACGGCCTGCAGGTGGGCGCGACCCAAACTTAAAGTAAACGGTGAGGCATGTACAGCCGGCGGTGGATTGCCTGGGTCCGGTTTGGGGGCAGCCATTGTTGCCTCGTGTGTATGGTACCCGAGTTGCAGGATGGGTAACGACACGGCCCACCGTCGTACCGAGCTACGACGTCGAATGACATTGGGCTGGCCGGTTGAGTAGATCGAAGGGGGACCCTGTCTGGGGAGACAGGACGGACCGAATGCAAACGTTGGCACATGGGGTTGACATGGTTGATGTGGAGGATTTCCCGTCCCGTGGTATATGATGGGGTCATGGGTAGAAGCAGGTGCAGAGGAGTAACGAAGGGTACGGACGATCAGTTCCTCGAAGGGTGATAGGGCCATTGTGTGACAAGTCGGGCGAGTTTGGTCAAGGCACAGATGTCTGGGCCGTTGCCAGGTCGTTGGTTGAGACGGCGAGGTCGCGGAGCTCATTGATCAGGAATCGCATGCCTGCACAAGCACCTCAGTCGGAAGAGCTCGAGAAGATGTGGCCGAATGAGGCACAATGAAGTATGGGGAATCAGGAGCTCCCAGCCACGTCCAGCGTGCCATTGACCATCTGGGGTGTGTGAGCATATGTGTGGTGTGTGGGAGACGAAATGCGGAGAAGAGGAAAGTCAACTCAGGATGGGAGGGATGGGCAGCCGTGAGTGGCTGGCGAGATTGGATGATTGGCGATGTTACCAGGCGAGCAGCGTGGGAAACTCAGACGAGAAAGCTGGGCGAGATCCCAAATGCCACACGGGTGGCAGGTAGAGGTGTCGTTGCGTTGCATGTCTCATGCTGTGCTCGTGCCGGTGGTGTGCTCAACACCTAAGTACCAGCCCAGGTATATTGCTGCAGAAATGCTCGGAATGGGAACTTGCGATGCGGTGAAGCCGTTCATCTGCCTGACTGCCTGTCTGTCGCTTGTGCTACTCGGTCGATTATCGTAACTGAGAACCTTGGTGATGCGGATTGCGGACATGGATGGACATGTCATATCTAGGCTGTTGTCGGTTTCCCTCATGCTGGTGCCATGTTGTCAGTTTGTTAGTCATGGGTTCATACTCCGTACCAAACCAAACCTGCAACAAAATGAACCCACGCAAGCAGGCCAAAGTTGGTGAAAGCAAAGTACCTCAGGTACCTCACCTGCTTACCTGATGGAAACCTAAACATTCAGGCGTATCTTAAGGTCGTCAGATTCAATACGTACCGAATCGAGTACCTGACGGAAGGAGGAACACAAGGTTCGTTCGCCCTTGTCCGTGTGTCTTTTCCGTCCGGACCCCTGCCCGCTCTCTGCCCCGGGCGGGTCAAGAACGGTGGACCACCTCCCGTCGTTCCTCCCTCCAAGGACGGACCATTAGTTGACGGACCATTAGTTGACGGACCAATCTACGCGGCCCATTTCCCCGCACCCGACTTGGGTGATGGATCACGATGGAAATGGAAATAAAGATCAAACACGCAACTTTAATGCTGGCCAGTCAAATCATCATAAGGGCGAAACAAGTTGGAACTCACTGCCTTACCCAAGTACCTACGAAGGAACCTAGGAACCTAGGTACTTGATGACAGATAGGCATGTCGGCAAAGGATCGAGAAAAGTTGGCCATAGTCCCTGGCTGGCGGTAGGTTTTGCCCAGACGAGTGATTGAGATGCCATCACTTAGGTTAGCGCCTAGAAGATTGATGTCTGGGTCTTGGTGTCCTTTCGGCTGCTGCTCCGACGAAGACAGGCTTGGAGCAAGCTTGGCAATGGAGAGTCGCCTCGGCCATCTAGTGAGAGTCGCACATTGCGTCTGGCAAGCCTTAGTACCTAGACGCCCGGCGGTAGAGGGGGGGAGAGTACGGTATTGTGCCACAAACCTGACGTGTTTCGTCAAATGATCTACGGGACCTTTCTCAGGAGACACATGAAAAGCTAGAAGACGATGTGTATTGCCAAGTGAACCTGTGGAGAACAGGCGGAGAACCTGCGGAAAACTCGTAAAGTTCCAGATGGGAAGCTCTGTCGAGATCCAGCTGCTGCAGGAGGAGATGAGGTATCCATCAGCCGTAACTGAGATAAGTTTGGGCGAAGACGAGGTACAGACAGGCAGAGACTTCCGACTCTTGGCTATCGGATAAGTTTTTGCAGTTTTTGATCATCACGGGATAATGCGACACGAAAGCGAAGTCGAGGCAGGAGAGCTCTCTCCAACAATCCAACAGCACTTTCCCCCGTCGACCCCAATTCCCGCCCTCGCCCCACTCCATCCGCATGGGAAGGATCCATCGTGGCTCCTTCTTCCCCGGCCTCACCTTACATACAGTTAGTTACCTTGTACCTTCCTCGATCCTTCTCTTTAGTGATTGAGAAACTTGTAACTCAATTGGTTGTCTTGGTAAGGTAGGTATGGACGGTCACTTCCTTCCTTCCTTCCTTCCTTCCTTCCTTCCTTCCTTCCTTCCAACAATGTGAACGTCTGCCGGGAGGGTGACTTCGACACCACCTCATTTGTCGCCCTCGTCAAGCCACCCGCATCATCTTACCTTTAGTGCTCCAATCCAACTCCCGTCTCAGATCGGGCCTGATGTCCGTCCAACATCCCGTCACCAAAACCTCCAACCAAATTACATCGCCAGCACCTGGCGTGAGCAATGCCATTTGGTTGCCGCCGCCTTTGTTGGCCTTGTGCCTCAACCACTGCACGAATTACCATGTCTGAGCGCCACCCCTTCGTCTTGCCGCAGTCGAATCGAATCCTTTTCTTTCGGCCCTCTTCCCACAGCAAGCCTCTCGCTGTTCGCCCATTCGCCTATTTGCCACGGTGATAGTTCTAAGGAGCATTCTACTTTTCAAAGTCCCACCGAGGATACAACGGCGTACCCTTCCAAAGCTCATGGAGACTTCGCCTTGCGACGGCCTCCTGACCACACCCCTGCGTCTTTTGCCAACCTGAAAAGGCTTCGCTGGGCTCCGACGACTTTGGCTCACCTCTTATCTCCTGCGGGGGAATGGTTCCCGAGCTGCGGGCCTCCAGCTGCTTGGTCCCGTCCTTGTTTTGCGGGCCAATTCTCGGACCACTTCTCCGACACGGCGCAGCCCACCTCAAGGTACCCCGATCAACTTTCTCCGTCACGACGACCACGCTCTACAGTCGCACCAGTTGATTCATCCCTCTTCTTGGTACGTTCTCTATCGACTCTTCACCGCTGCGTTGGCTTATATACCAGCTGAGATTATTGAAGCCCGTTCGGCGTCACAGCTTGATCGTCTGACAATCGAAGTATCATGGGATAGAATCATTCAACTTCGCTGTCTCGCAGTCTTGCCAGAGACACATCAACCAAACGTTGTCTCTTGAGTAGTGACATTACCGAAGGTATCCCCACCAATTTAACATCTTGGCCACGGTTTTAGCGCCAACTCGGGTCGACCACCACTCCACGGGGCCCAGAAAAGACGCTGGGGCCCTTGCTCGTTATTGTGATGCGTGTGCCTTGAATGGACCGCTTCTCATCAATCGCACGTTTATCATCGCTCGACCTTGCACCTGATATTTCAGAAATTTCACATTTTGCTGCCCTTGCATCTTGGCGCCTGCAAAGTTGAAGGAAAAGTTTTTCTTTTCGTTCCGGCGGTAATGCGTCTTCAACCTTACTTACAGGTTACGGTAATTCATATCCCCTTCCATTTCGGAGGCCATGTATGATAGGCCTAGCTCAGCTATTACACCGCAGACTCCCCGAAGAAGGGCCCCGTTCACCACCGTCCTAACGGTCATTTGCTGCTCCTTCCATGGAGATCGGCACGCCTAACTACTGCGTCTAACTCTGTACGCCCTCCGCGCAAGACACTGAACGAACAAATCCTCCAATGGCCTGCCGCAACTCCTCGACAGAATGATAGGACTGCAACGTTACCACGATGCGGGGATTTCATGCTGATCGAACATGGTAGCCGGACCGTCATTCTACTTTTGCTGCTGGCCATACCTATGTGGCCGGCGAGCTGGACCTCGCCCATTCTGTTTTCCTACTCGAAACCCTGACGAACCACTTACACACCGGCCGAGAGGCTCCGATCTAACTCAGATGGCGCACAACTTGCTTGGCTCTGTCAAACGTCCGAGATCCAATGCACCGGGTCGCATAAGCTTTCCAGAAATGGTCTCTTTCATGTAGGCACGCAAGCTTAGTACTCTACCAGGACTGCGGAAGCGATAGCACCTTGCCGTGTCGCTAACAAGATTTTGATGAAAGAGGAGCCCCGTGTAGCAACCTTCACCAAGGTGAGTGATCTTGCTATAAGTGATATGTGCCTCTCTTGTATGCGTATTGCACTCGATGGTGTTCATCACCGTGGTAGTTCTCTTTCAAATTTCTTTCTCTATCCTATGCGAAAACTTGCCCGTCAAAGCTTGTGTGGGTATTGTGTTAAACCAGACCGCACATGGTGACTTCAATAAGAAGAACCCTAGCCTCAACGAGGCGGCAAATGTAAGAAGCACTTCTTGAAACATGAGTGCTTCAGTGAGAAAATGCTCTGGAAATTCCAGAAGGAACTGACTTCAGTTGCATGGCTGCAATGAAAAGGATCCAGGTAGTCAAGTGACATGAGAGTCTTCATCGGCCAAGAAGCCAGCCACGACTTCCCGCCCCCCTCAGCCTACATCGCAGGCATATTGACGGTATCTAAGGCGCAAGAGACCTTGCGCGCAAGGTGGAAGGTGAGTCGAATTTAAGTCTCAGCACGTTGTCCCCTCTGGACTGGTGCTTCTCAATTCGGCTCCCTGGTATTGTTTTTCCTCTCCGCACCCATGCGCAAAGGCACAGAAATGCAATGAGAAAAGAGGCCGACAAACTCCAAAGAGCGTCAGCCAGAGTTGTTTGTTATTTTCTGTTTGCGAATCCTCGTGCCAGGTCCCCATACGAGGATCCGCCTCATCGCTCTTATCCCCCGTGCAAGCCCCCGCGAGAAAACTTGCCAGGAGGTCCTGTCATCTGCGAATCCGTTAGCAAGTCGCAAGGCCACGCAGGCCCAACGTAGTAGTGCCAAGTGAGCAGAGGCATTCCGCTACCCGAAAGGAACGGTAGCACTGCCAAGGGTAAGTAATAAATAGTAGTAGAAAAAGTCCTTGTTCATTGTTGAGCCCACTAGGGCTGGGCCCTAATGCTTCGTTCGGTAACTGGCCAGCAGGGAAAGGGGCTAGACACGCCACTGGGACATGTTTGCGTAGAAAAGGACCGGGCCTGTCACAGTCAATCCTCGTCGACATCCCCTGTCGCAGCTAACCAGCCGCCGTTATCATACAGCTTTGCTTCGGAAAGAGGCGAAACAATAGAAAAAAGAAAGGAATGAAGAGAGAGGGCAACACCTCGAAAAAATAGACTTGACCCAAGAAGTCAAGTCAACCAGGATATGGGTGGTGGGTATCGTGAGAAAGAAACAGCCGCCTCTCCTTGACTCCGTCTCCAAACTGGAGCGTTTGGTCCCCGCCCGTCTAAACAACGCAACGCAAATGATTCCTGTAGCCTAATGATTCGCTTCCCTTCCGACATATCATGTAAAAGCCATCCTTCCTGTCTCAACAACTGGAATGATGCTTTCGAACTGCGGCTTGCAAGAGCTGAGGCCTCATCTTGAGTCGTACAGCTGGCGCAAGTGCGCACGTTGGTGACGGAACGAAGAGTAGTTACCAGCGTAGATGGTCTCGAGGATGCTGGCAGGTCCATCGGCGCGGGTCCCCGCCTGACCAAGCTGCACCATTCTCTTCTTCAGCATCTGATGTGCAATGCTGAACTCTTCCAGGATCCGCCCAGCGTTGCTAGACCCACCAGAAATATCATTAGCGGGATTGTTGGGATCTATGACGGAGATACGATCGAAGTTCTTGTAGACAACGTCATGAACTCGGTGCTGTGATGATAGCGTTAGTAAAAGTAGTTAGCGAGATTGCCGATATGAACTTACCTTGTGGACATAACCCGGAGGATTCAACCGGATTGCCGTGTTGACATAGTCGAACCTGTTTCCATAGAGGTCGAAGAACTCCATGAGCATCTGTCCAAGGTGGTGATCGGGGGTGAGGTTCCGGCTTTGAACAGAGGGCATGAGCTGCAGCATGCTGACGACCATGCAGGTGACAGTGAAGCTGCCGATCCCCCCGTTGACAGGCTCATTCAGACCGCGCATCGCCAAAAAGTGTTTGACCATTGTGACGATTATTGGCATGGCCGGATACTGCTTCTTCCACTCAATGAATGTCTTGACGGCCTGGGGACCATCAAGGCGATCGAAAGAGATGTCAACCCGGAGGCCAGTTTCGGTGTCAATGTACTTGACGAGAGGGACTTTGGCGCCTGCGATGAACTCCATGCTGTTGTAATGGGTCAGACGCTTGGACGAAAGGAACTTGCCAAAGTTCCTCAGAGCCTTAATACCGAAGAAGTTGGAATGAGCGCCGTTCATCCAGCTTCTTTCACAAATGACCAAGTCCATATCAGCCGTGGGCAGGTAGAGGCCAGACATGTACGAGCCAAATGGGCGAACGTCACATTCCTTGTAAAAGCGATTAGTCTTGAGAGCCGAGCGGATTCGGTCGACAAGCCGTGTTCGCATCTCGTGCTCAAAGTCGCGAGGGCGTACGACCTCATAGAAATCGACAATTTCCTTGTGAAGCCTATCCAGGTTAGACACTAAATCTGAATCAAAGCTGTCGCGACTCACCAAACACTGATGTCCGAGGTCTTGGAATGGTCCGCGTCGATCCAAGGCGTGGGATCCTCGCCTTTAGTCACCTTCCACTCGGACAAGATCGCGCCACCCACGGGCATCTTGTTGACTTTCTTGAGCGGCGCGTAAGTAGGGGGCTTGATGTGGTCGTCAGCAGTGCGCTTCCGAGAGCCGAGAGCGTCGTTGAGCGCAGCGGGCTTGGGGGGCAAAGTCGAAGGCTTGCTAGGCGTGAATGGCGCTGCCGCGGGTGATGATCCGCTGGAGGTAGGCGGATTGCCACGTTCTGAACGCGGGCCGCTGGGAGTAACTCTAGAAGCGATGGACGAGGATTGCAAAGGAGGTGCTGGACCAGGAGGGGGAGGAGGGGGAGGCGAGGGTGGCTCGGAGGGAGGAAGAATGATCTCTTCCTCGTCATTAGGTTCGTCAAAGTCGAAAGAAATGAATTCCTCGGCCTCTGTGCTGGCCTTGAGCTTGTCCGCGGCAGTTTCGTCGACTCGTGCCTTACGAATCATCTTGACCATGTCCTTCTTCTTGCGATCGGCCGCATCAGGCGGGGGAAGGGCGGTGTACGGATCTGGGTTCGACCATTTCGGGACGCTGTTGCCTGATTCGTCGTTGCCAGAACGGCGGGCGCGCTTGGTGGAAGGCTCACCAGATTCCTCGTCATCCTCCTCATCAGAGTTGTCAGAGATCTCCATGTCAGCCTCTTCGTCGTCCGATAGGTCATTGATGTCGCGGTATACTACACCAGCGCCCTCCTCGTTGACTAGGTTCTCGTCGACTCCATCGCGGCGGGTGCGCAAGAGCTCGCGCTCGGCTGGGATGATCTTCCAGTACGCGCCTCTACCGCGGCCACGAAACGATCCTCCCCGGGCGCGTGGGGCTCTTCTTCTATCGTTGCCCTGATATGCGCCTGGGCGGTATGAGTCGCCTCTGGAGGTGTTGCCTACGCCAGAGGGCTTGTCCATCCGGAAGGTGAAGTCGCCCTGGGGCGGTCGGTCATCGGGTCTGTAGCCATTGTAGCCGCCTGATCTTCTTCCTATATCGTTGTCTCCTCTGTAAGAATCATAGCGATCGGAATGCCGCGGCGGAGATCGCGATCTTGAGCGGTGGCGGTACTCACGGTCCTCTGGCCATGGGTTGCGCCATTTGTCGCCTGCTCCAGGTGGCGGGGGCTGATGAGTTGATGAACGGGATTCGTAACGACCGCCGTTGCGGTCGTCCCGAGCATTGCCTCGAGGCGGGTATGGTCTGTACGAGCTCATCGTGGGTGTCGCGTTGTGCAGTGGATCCTGGTGTTGACGCGTTGAGAAGCTTAAGCGATTGAGAAAATTCGGGCGGTCGACGTCAAGGTCGGGAATTCCTGCCCTGTGATTATCGATAACGCTAGCGTGCACGTGACGGCGATTCGGGGTGGTGGGGTGGGTGGTGACGTCTTATCTTCTTATCGCCGATCGCATCCAAGTTTGTGCTTCCGTCAGGTCCCATAGATTGGTATTCTGGCAGGTGCAAGTGAGCAAACTCCCATGGCCAGCAGCAGGAGAAGTGAATGACATGAGCCTTTGTAGTTTCCTGTGAAAGGCTTCAACTCCGATGCCATCCAGAGTTCAATAACATCTTCAAGCAAGTAGTAGCGGGTGAACAAGGAAAGGCTGCCAGCACCGTCAAAGTGATGTCCACAGCTTTCCTTGGCTATGCACCACCATCTGGTCCTGGCTATGTTCCCGCTCAACGTTAATATGAGCTTCCTGTCCAATACTCTAGACTAGTCTGACTGAGTTATGGGTAGATGCATATCTGTTTTCTTGTTCAACGTCCATGTAGTAATGTAGAAATAACTGCACACAGGGCATTTCCTAAGCAGTCTGAAGATCATCTCACACCAGCCAACCTCACCTTAAGTCATCTGCCTCCTCAGGTAGTCTCCAGCTAAGACAGACAAAAGCAACACATCGCTCACTCTTACAGTGCCCATAATATCTGAAGAGAGCATTGCTTCAAAGTTAAGTTTGGGGAAGATCCGACCACAACACCAGTGACTCGAGGCCCCCGAGAATGAGAGGTGGGGCCCAGACTCCATGAAACTGCCCGTATTGTGGATTGCCAGCACTATGAGTAGCTTTACTGCCCAACAGGCTCCACTGGATCAGAAAAGATTTGTTGTATGCGATCCATGTGTTGAATACATGGGCTCGCGAACGCTGGCCACTCCGGGACGAACTCATGCCAGTCCGGTGAGGCCGTGCCCCTGAAGTCAAGGTGAACCACCTCTAGAGTCTTAAGTTGAGCGAGAATCAAAGACATCGGTGGCCTTCTCGTGTCGTCCATCGCACACTGATTGTGCTGCCACTATCAGATGCAGATTTCTCGAAGGGTTCCTTGGAAGGCTATGTTGTATAATCCTCTCCGATCGTCGAGGTGGTGAGCGCGGAACTGGTCGGGGTCGAGAATTAATGGGGCTTCATCTACGCTTCGCTATCATCGTCTAGAGTATATACCACGATGGATGAGCGTTCTTATACGGAGGCGGAACGGGTAAACATGGCTGTATTAGAGAACCACGACATGAGGCCACACTTAACTTGACCTTTGTAGGTGGCCCGCCTTGATCTTAGGGACACGGTGGAGAGTTGCAAAAGAGCGACGCCATGTCTAGGAGCAGTACACCACCGGAATCAAATACACCCCGGGCGCAAAGTACTTCGGCGTAGAGTTCCCCCCAAGCTACGGGCAGTTTTTGAACACACATGCAGCAACTTCTGAAGGTCCATGCTCGATACCATGACCAAAACCATCACATCGCCCGGAGGATCTCTGGCGCCTAGTCTAGCAAGTCAATGAGACTAATTTCGCAGCGCATGAGACGCCCCGTAATAGCACGGCATTTTCACTCTACAGAATAACAAAGTCCTAGCCTCAGTTTACTGACTCCAGATATGTCAGAGCGTGTCTGCACGATAGCAGAATCACGGCATGCGAATGCATCAGATGGAGGTGGAGATACTGGCGCATGATTATAATGTCTCGAGGAGAACAAGAGGCTAGACGGTGAGCTCCGGCCAGAGAATCTCACTCCATCTATGTGCGGGCAGTATCAGATCATATGGCTCTTAAAAACCGCAAAGCACTGATTTCTAGGCACGCAGAATGTTCTGTTCCAGGCTATCATGACGACTTTTTACAAGAAACCCATGGGCTTGTGCTGGAACCTGCGTATCTTCATGTCGACAAACACTCGAGACTTGTAGCTCAAGCCACGGTTTGTCGCTCGCCGGGCCAATCAGACCTGTCATGAAAGATCATCTTCGGAACAAAATCCCTTGTAAGCTTCAAAGAGTAAAGCGGCGTCCTTTACCTGTCATTTGATCAAGTTCCTCGTCGTTCGAACGTGAGCCGAAGAATCCCTGAGTAAATCACCAATGTCCGAGAAGCTACTCTGTCCGGCCTGAAGACTTTGACAGCACCATCCGTGATGTCCACCCAACTCGTTCGTTGAAAACTTGACAAATTCCCCTTCCTCCCCGCAATCCCGTCGGGAACCCCGCCGCCGGCAGCAACACTCCAGGCCCCACATCGGTCGACAGTCCTCCGCCAGCACCCCACCGCCGCACGGCGTCCTGTCACCCCCTCCTCCGGCGAACGACACCCCTTCAAAACCCGTCCGTACCGAACTCGTTCTACCCCTCAGCACTTAATAAACCATCTCACGAATTCTCACGATAGAGACTTTCCTCAGTACTCCCCCCGACCCCTGAAACAATTGCTTCAGCCCCCTCACTCAACATCATCACAAACCCTACTTACCTAAAGTACCTACCTTACCTTTTACACAACCCTCACAACCACCCAAAAATGGCAGACCAAACCTCCCGTGCAGACCTCACAAAGCGCCAAATCCCCTTCATGACCCTCGCCACAGGCGACACCTCCACCCTCCCAGGCGGTCCCTCCCGCACCGCCTCCGCCACCGACACCGCGCAATCCCGCTTCGCCCTCCCCGGCACAGCAATCCTAACAGGCGGCACCGGCGCCATCGCCCACGCCGTCGCGCGCGCAATGCTCCAGCACGGCCTCACAGGCCTCATGCTCCTTGACCTAGACGTCGAGTCCCCCGCCGCAAGCACCCAAATCTCGTCTCTCCGCACAGAATTCCCCTCTACCAAGATCCTCGCGCGGAGCGTAGACGTCACGGACGAAGTCGCCGTCGCATCGGCAATGGAATTCGCCGTAAGCGAGTTATCCGGAATCGATTACCTCGTCTGCTTCGCGGGCGTTGTGGGCTGCCACCACGCCCTCGACATGACCGCCGCGCAATTCCGTCGTATCTTGGACATCAACACCACCGGCGCCTTCATCTGCGCGCAAGCCGCGGCGCGCATCTTTGTGAAGCAGGGCCGCGGCGGGCGGATCGTCTTCACGGCGAGTATCTCTGCGCACAGGGTGAATTTCCCGCAGCCGCAGGCTGGGTATAATACGAGCAAGGGCGCGCTGCTGCAGTTGAAGAGCAGTCTTGCGGCGGAGTGGGCGAGGTACGGGATTACGGTGAATAGTGTGAGTCCTGGGTATATGGATACGGTGTTGAATGAGGGGGAGGGGTTGAGGGAGGCGAGAGAGTGTTGGGCGGGGAGGAATCCGATGGGGAGGATGGGGGGCGTGGATGAGGTTGGGGGTGTGGTTGTGATGTTGTGTAGTAAGGCGGGGAGCTATTTTAATGGGAGTGATTTGGTTGTTGATGGGGGTGGTGTTGTGTTTTAGGGTGATGAGTTTTGGTTAGAGGCTTAGAGTATGAGAGGTGGAAAGGTGAGATGGGATAGACTAGAAGACAGTCCACTATGGGTCTAGACGTATGGAAGCATATTCTTGAGATGGATAAAATCGACCGGTTCAGGAGATGCTTTGGAGGGGGGTTTGTCAGAGCATCAATCATGAGTCTCGTCAAGTACTCAAAGCGCGTGATGCTACGTCTCAGTCACGGTGGCACTCACGTTTCTAAATGCTCAACCCCGATGAAGCCTCACGGCAAGAAGTTGTCAATACCCACTACCCGAACGAGTGACATCAAACAATCTTCACAATGCCTCGGACGTCCTATCCTTGAACAAACTGTCAAGTTGTCTTCAATTTTTACATACAGTCTCTTGGCCGTGTCTATTAAATTACGTAAAAAGCTCTATGCTAGGGTGCGTTTTGTCTTACAACTCTTGACAAAACCATGCCATCTCATGGCTCAATGTGTGATGTGTGTGTACTGTGCGCAATGAAGGCTTTCTCTATCTCTCTCTCTCTCTCTCATGAATTCGCAGAAAACCCCCCCAAATTTTGGTGTGATATCCCTCAAGACTCCATTTTCAAAATGAGTTCTTGGCCTCGAAATTGCGGCCAGACACGAACTACTGGGAGACAACGATGCTGATGCTGTAAAATCAACTGACAGTAGGAAAAAAACGCAGAATGCAGACGCGCTGCTGCGAAGCGGGCTGGAAGGGATGATTATCTGCGGTTGAAGTTGAGGAACTTGCTCTATTGTAGACGTTAGTACCTTGCTCATAAAACATGCATGTCAGGAGAGACCAAGGGGGGGAGAAAATGCTTACCGCCAAGACGAGGACAATCAAGTTGCTGCCAACAAAGGCCAAAAAGATACCGAGGTCCCTCCAGCGGTTATCAAAGTTGAGCCCCAGCGGCGTGTAGAACTCGTCGCCGACCTTGTACGCGCAGTACTCGCAGCTCGACGTGTCGTTGTTGGCCAGGTACCCGGGGCCGCCGTTATCGAAAAACGGCTGCATGTACTCGCCGCACGTCTGGCCGGGCGGCGCAGTAAAGGGGTTGAACTCGACAGAGGAGCAAGCGACCTTGAGATCGTGCAGCGCGGTGACGACCATGCCGCCGATGAGGCGTGTGAAGGGGTCGAGCTGGTAGAGCCAGGCGCGCCAGAAGCCCGGCATCTGCGGGGCGGGGATGGTGACACCGCAGAAGAGGGCGAAGGTGATCATGAGGAAGGGGTCGAACTGCGAGGAGATGAAGGGGCTGGGTGTCAGGGAGGCGAGGGCCTGGCCGAGGGAGACGGAGAAGAGCTCGGTGATGAGGATCATGAAGAATTGGTAGCCGGCGCGGGAGGAGTCGAATTGGAAGCCCGGCATGTAGTAGAGCGGGAGGAAGAAGGCGACGGAGCACATGATGGAGTAGGGCAGCTCGGCGATGGTGATTGCGGCGGCGAAGGTGAGGGGGTTGTACATTTTTGAGGAGCTCTCGCGGAAGAAGAGGG